GCTATGTCGGCCTCCCTCACCCTGTAGTGAGAGGAGTGTAGTGAGAGGAATAGTCTTCATGGCTAATTTGATCATGCCTGCAGAGTGTTCTGGTCTAGCAGTGAAGGTGGGGATGGAAAACAAAGGAAAGAGTCATCCTCATTTGTTGAGGAACCCCCAGTACAGGCCTGTCTGCTGTTGCCTGGAGCGATGGTAGGGGCTTCACAGGAGCTGTCGGTGGGAAAGGTGCATCAGCTACTGAAGATGATGCAGTAGCCACTGCTGCTGGTGGATCTGCTGCTGATGATTGCGCCAATGACGATGTGGTAGCTGCTGCTGATGATGCTGGTGGAGGTGTTGAGTTCTTTCAGAGCCTTGGAGGTGTTGAGTTCTCTTGGAACCGTGGCGATGTTGAGATCTTTTTAGGCGGTGCAGGAGGAGCCCTTTGCTTCTTCCTTCCTTTCCATCAACACTTTTGTGCCTATTCCAGAACAGATTAAAGTTCTCTATGAAGGCAAGGCCTCTGCGTGAACATTTTTTGAGTAGAAAGGTACAGGCGACTAAAAGTCTTGATTTTTCCATCTGTATTTGGAAGGGGTCCGCTGATAAAAATGTCTCTCTCTATTTTTGTGAGATCGTCCAGTTACAGAGTGAAAACCTTTCTCAACATCTCATTTGTATTCTCATAGAATCCACCCCTGTGTGGATCAACAATGTACCCATATTACGGTTTTCTGATAGCAGTTTCGGGACATGAGTCTTTATCTCAGAAACTTGTCCTGAGTAAGTCCATATAAAGTTCATGTTTGCATTCCATATGACGCTATCTCCGATAAGGAGGCAGTGCGTCCTTGGCTGAGGTGCTGCATTTGTCAGCGGCTTTGCTGCTTCAAACAGAGGTAAGTGGCGATTGGAAGTCTTCCAAACTTTTAGTTGTGGCAAAATGTCACTCCTATTGTCATTCTTAGCTTAGTCAACTTTGGGTTTAGCCCCGGATTATTTCCAATAGTTTTCTTTGTTGATTTTGGGAAAATAAATTTTGTCATTGTAACTCACATTTCCGACGGTCTGTCTATTTTAAATTTTCACTCATTGGAATGGTCGGGTTAAGTCTCATTTCTGTTTCCAAAATAGTGATCAGTTTTTGGAGAGACTTTAGTGAAAGATGCTATACCCAATTTTTTTTCTAATGAGTTCATTAAAATGCTTATTACTGCATACAAGTTGTAATCCGTAATTTAATTGAAAACTTGAGCTCATTGATACAGGCCGTATAAAAGTGTTGAGTAGAGACTTAGCGGGACGCTCGTTCTCTTCCACTCACAGAACGAGGGGCGAACAGCCTGCGTCCTCTAGCCTCTACAGCGCTGCTAAACACAGTAGCATGTTAGCGGAAAGTGGATAGCTCCTCTTCTTGTAACTGCAGACACAGAAAAACAGCCCAAACTACACAACAGTGAGGAAGAGAAGAGGGAACTAAAGCAAAAAAAAGATCAAAGAAGAAAGCAAGCTCAGGTGAACATAGCTAGCTTACATTGTATCCACTGGAGAGATTACAGTCTATGGGAGAGACTTGCGGGTGCAGGACCGCCTCGGACTATCTATGCTCGGACTACATTCAGACGCAAAACCAGCGATAATCTTTCAGTTATATATTTTGTTAGCAGTGCATTGCTTTTGTACTATTTCATCAGTGATCGTTGTACAGCTTACAAGAAGTTGCGCTCATGCTAATGTTTGCATATGTATCAGATAAATTTGTGTAAGCCCTCAGTCGTACAGGGATTATTCAAAGCAAAGGAAGATTTCTCACCCATCATCTGTACTTCTTAGCAAGTTTTCCCGACGTTTCGTCCTCAACCTAGCGGACTTCTTCAGGGAATGAATTCTCGGACCGCGCGTTGGAGATTTATAACCTATGGGTGTGGTTAGCCACACCCTAATCCTGATACTAACTCGTAAACAAACTAAGGTCTGCTTGATGTAGAAGGGAGCAGGTCTAACGACCCTGCTGAGGCTAACGACCCTAACTCCTTAGCATGTCACAGACCTATTGTCTGCTGGGATGCTCAAGTGGAGTGCAGGTTTCACCCCTCCTAACTCATTAGCATGTCACTGACCTTGTCCCAAGTTAGGGCGTTGTTTTTAGGATGTCGTCATAGATACGAGGCAAAACAAATCTTAACCCTCCTCCTCTGTTAAGAGAAGGTTTTTGTTTCCTCACAAAAATGGCTTCTTTCACTCCTCTCTCAAACCAATTCTTCTCCCGAGCCAGAATTTTAACCTCTGTGTCATCCACCGTGTGGTTGGAGGCCTTGAGGTGGAGATGAACAGCCGACTGTGGCCCACTAGAGTTTTCTCTACGATGTTGGTAAAGTCGTTTCTGTAGAGTTTGTTTGGTTTCTCCAATATAGTGGTCAGTGCACTCCTCTTCACTACATTTAATTGAATACACCACATTGCTCTGTTTGTGTCTGGGTGTTTTGTCTTTGGGATGCACTAATTTCTGTCTTAACGTGTTGAAAGGTTTGAAATACACAGGGATTTTGTGTTGCCTAAAGATTCTTTGTAGTTTCTCTGAAACTCCCGCCACATACGGTAAGGACACCCCTCTCCTACTTTCTTCTGTCTGTTGGACTGTGTCTCTGGCCTTTCTCGTCCTTTGGGCTTTAGTAAAAGACCACTTGGGGTAGCCACATCTGGAAAGTGCTCTCTGAACATGTTTGGTTTCTCTGTTCTTTCCTTCCGAGCTTGTGGGGACCTGGTGGGCTCGGTGTTGAAGCGTTCTAATGACCCCGAGTTTGTGTTGTAGCGGATGATTTGAATCAAAGGCCAAGTACTGGTCAGTGTGAGTGGACTTTCTGAAGACCTCAGTCTCTAATTGTCCTTTCTCCAGTATGAATTGCGCACCACGCCACAGCCCACCTGAGTATTGTTTCTGACCATGTCCATCCCTTTATGACCACAGTGTACCTATGTTCTGATAGCTACTTCCAGCAGGATAAAACACCTTGTCATAAAGCTCAAATAATCTCAGACTGGTTTCTTGAACATGACAATAAGTTCACTGTACTGTAATGGGCTCCACAGTCAACAGATAGAGCAACGTTGGTGGTGGAACAGGAGATTCGCATCATGGATGTGCGACAAATCTGCAGAAACTGCATGTTGCTGTCAAATATGGACCAAACTCTCTGAGGAATGTGTCCAGTACCTCGTTGAATCCATGCCACAAAGGATTAAAACAGTTTTGAAGGCAAAAGGGGGTCCAACGCGGTATTAGCAAGGAGTACCTGATAAAGTGGCCAGTGAGTGTATGTCTTCACCCTGAGTTGACATTCTACTGTGACTGTAAACAAGTGCTGCTAAGATGTACACCAATACAGAAGTACCCACCACTTCCGCTCTGTCTTTTTTTCCATGGACTGTGGACGTAGTCACGCCTATCTCCGCCGTTGCAACTAATGTGCCATCTAACTAATGTGCCATCAACTAATGTGGCTTCTATGGGCTTTTTCCAAAACGCATGCAGCTGATTTGAATGTGCGTCCATGCCAACGCACGTTAATGCATCTGCGGTGAGAACACAGCTTTAGCTGTCTGCGGCAGCAGTGAAATTGGTAGCTGTGCTTTCTCCGCCATGTTGGTTTCGGTGAATGTGCGTGCACACCATAGATTGCAAATTTTAAAGGACGTAGTCACGCCTATCTCTGCTGTTCAAACTAATGTGCCATCACTTCCCCAGTCTATGGGCACTATCAAAGTGGCCGTGGGGGCTGGAAAATGTGAAAAAAACGCTTCTGTGTATGCGACAGCCAGCACGAGCCCCATTCATTTAACGAGTGCCTTCAAAATTTCACAGCAACTAAACTAGACTGGTCCAAAAAAATTCACTCCCCTCCGCATTGACACACATGCGGGTCTGGAACGTAGCTTTGGGCCAAGAGCCGACTTTTGGAACACCCTGTGTGAACCCATTTTTGGAAGGAAAGAAGATAAGTACATTAGCATTGAATAATTCTTATTCCGGGTCCACCGCCATTGGCCCGGGGTGGTATTGCAAGCATGTCAGCGCAGGTCATTTTGGACATTTTTGAGCTGGGACTAAGCCCCGGCGATCCAAGATGGCGCCCTATTCAAATGAATGGTTGTGCTCAGTGGCGCTTTGTGACGGCATGGGGGCTGAAAGATTAGCGGAAGTCGCCTGGAACTCGCAAAGATCTATGGGAAAGTCGCCTGTATTTGGGCATCGTCTGGTCCTCCCGGTTCTGCGCAGTGGATGATCTCCCATAATGCGTTGCGCCAAACACGCGTGTGTGGGTCTCACACCAGGTCTCACGCACGTGCACAGAGGGGCTCAGCCGCGCTCTGACCAATCAAAGCAGTTCATCAGAGCGGGAGTTAGAGCGAGAGCCAGAGGAGCAGAGTTTGTGGCACTAAAGTGTGGATTTAAACAAAACCGAAGGATTTAAGAAGAAAAAAAGTTCAGGATGACAAGGGACACTAAAATCCCCACAAAATCCGACCTTTATTAAAGCTGTAGGTTCTCTGTCAGCTGAGGTCGAGCTGTTTTAATATGCATTGAGTTCTATGGGGAAAATGTCTGGGTAGCCCACGTGAATTTAGTCTGGTTCAGTCTGCAGTACCGCGAGAATCCCCTGAGCACATGGGTTATTCAGCTACAAGCTAGTAATACCCTATCCAGTTATTATAATACATCCATGGCTGGGACCCGTCCCCACTGGTGCACACACAGAGAGGAACGTCCCTTCATGCCGTTCTCTCTCCTGATACAAGAAAGGTTTTCTCCGGTTTTCTCTCAGAGCAGAGCAGAGTGACTGAAAGATCTGTGTTTTAGTCCAAACACCTTATATAAGTGATTGCTATTGGAAGATATAACTATTTAGCCATAATAACTATCTACTTTTATTAACACAAAAATATCGCTTACTTCTGCTTTAAACACACAAGCGTGAAAGTCTTTGTAGCCGTGCATTTGATGAGTGTGATAGCACCTCTCCATGGGGATCAGGTGTAATCATAAACTGTAAAGCAGAAAGGAGAGTGAAGGCGTACTTGCGCCCTTTGGCCGGCAGGCGGAGCTATTTTTTTCTACCTTTCAAAGAACCTCAGCTTCAGCAACCGTAGTATTTTATTGTGAAAGGTACTTCCGGGAAATTTAGCCTTCGCTCTCTGAAGTTAGGTGACAAATATTGCGTCACTTTACAGAACCGAACCAGGCCCAAATACTACCCAATGGAGCTTGACTAAACCCGGACCAAATCTGGCTCTCCTCACACATCACACTCGCCCTTAGAACCGGATTTTGGGGCCTCTGGAGCAGCTGGATCCACCGGGCTGAGGGCCTCTGCACAGGGTAACAGCACATTCATCATAACAGTAAAAACTCTTTCATTGACTTTAAATATTTGTGACGTACGATGGTGGGCTCCAAGGGACATGTGATAATAGTGGTTTGTGGAGAAGGTGAACATGTAATCTGTGTAATATAAGCCTATTTAGTAAAACATCCTATTATGTGTTTAATATGAAATCGTTTTGTTTTGGGGATTTCCACATCATCTAAGAACATAAACACGTAGAAGTAACTTGAACTAGTGCTGTTTTGATGAATGGAGACGACAAAGACACTAAAGTCATTAAATCAAATAAATAAAATCTCATACAATACTGCATACTATAAACCTAGATACCTCGTTTTTTTGCACAAACTATTACGTAAACAACAGAGTATAATTCAATAAGTAACGGTACTCTGTAAATCTCTCTTAAATAACTTTTAGGCTCATGATATCAGGACAAATATAAGTGTTCCGTTCAGCGGGGGAGTGCACCTCTGCAGGCCGGGGAAAGAGCTCTGTTCTCTGCTTGAATCTGTGGTGGTTCCACAGAAAAATGCACCAATGGGTGTTTTTAACCCGGGTTTGTGGCTGATGTCACGCCAGTTCTAGTGGGGGCACAAAACTGCGGGAGGAGAGCTGTTTATTAGACGGGGCTGAAGCTCTCATTTGGGGCTTGTTGTTATAAGGGAGCGGCCGCACCAAGCTACTGCTAACATGCTATGCTAGCTCGTTTTGGGGTTCATATATGCACTCGTGGTCGCAAATGGCGATAGCATCTAACTACACGTAGACCCGCATTTATATTTTAACGTGTATTCTATTACACATGTATTATAACCACAAGGAACCGGTTGACTTAGTTTTAGCAGCTGTTTAGCTCGTTAGCTGTTAGCTGTAAAATGCTAAAAACACGCCTCAAAACGCCTCATAAGAGAACAAATCAAATCAATCAGTGAGAACAGCCTATTTCTTTTAATAACAAATGTGTTTGATTTATTTAAAATAAATGGTATGTTATTAACTTTTAACAGCAAGCTTTGTAAAATACACTCTTATTTGGATTTGAATCTATTTGATTAGGGACTAGGCACAATAAACATTCTTATAACAAGAAAATATGACACATACACATTATAATGACCCCAATATTGAATATGGTTCTCTCCTCTGGCTGTGTTTTTAGGAAAGTAAAGTTGCCAACATCTTCTGCAGCTGCAAACAACACAATATTAGATTTTATGAAAATGTATATCTTGATTATTTCATTTGAATTAGTTGTTTTTCCCAGAGGCTAAATCTTATCTGAGTGAAGTGATAGACTTCACACTTTGCCCTGACCACATCACCAGCTTCCCAGGTCTCCAACATGACAATATTGATAAATCGATTGATTAGATGATATATTTGTCACATACCATGTTAACAACACTGTCAATATGTAGTATAAGGATATGTCTTTAGTTTTAGTTTAGTTCACTGTCTGACCTGATGAAGGCCTAATTGGTTGAAACACGTTGGTGTCCCTCGATAATACAGATCCTGGAAGAGCAAGGGTAGTGAATGTTTCCTCTAATCTGCTGTGCCCTCCTCACACTGGCTGACGCAGTGTACAGTAGTTCTTGCCCCGCTCTGGCGCTCCTCTCCCACACTGTCCCCACACAGACCCCAATGTACTCTAATGTCTGCTGCTGAGTTGTTAAACTTTCTCAGTTTCCTGAGGTGGTGCAGGAGCTGCCCGGACTGTTTTGTCACAGTGATGTTAACTACCAGACATTTATATGTGTCGACGCTCCACAGCTACGGAGATGTTTTGTGGAGAGTCATATTGAGTCCCCCTCCTCAGATCCACCTCAGATCCACCACCATCTCCTTTTGGAGGTTTTGATGGCCTATCTGGGGTCGTTGCACCAGTTTGCTAGCAGGGCCACCTCTTAATAATTGGCAGCCTCTGTGTTATCAGAAATGCACCTGACCACCACTGTATCATGGGCAGATTTTAACACCGCAGTGAAAAGTCTTCCCCACCAGGCTTTTCCCCACATGTCAAAATAAAAAGATTCAAAATAAACCTCCTACGTTCATAAGTCTTCTATGGTCAAGGTGTGAGTCCAGGACAAGAGAAGGACAGACTAGAGTAGGAAGAGACAGACCAGAGAGCATCACATTATTATGCACTACACGTGTTAAAAAGAATTATTGAAACTTTTCAACATCTTTTACAAGGACAACTTTATAAAGGAAAGAGCAGCAGATGCAACAGTCCAAACTCTAACGGTGAGGGCTTCACTCACCCAAACACAGTATCACCGCTTGTTATGCAGTCAATATACAAAGTATTGTCCCTCAGTGACTTGTGTGCAGTTTTAGAACCTTCTTCCCCTGAGCCACTTGTGAGCAGCTTGTGAGAAAACTAATAATAATACATTGTGTTTATTTAGTGCATTTTTTGGACACTCTAGGAAAGGCAAGGCAAGGAAAGTTTATTTGTATAGCACAATTCATACACAAGGCAACTCAAAGTGCTGAACAAGATCGCATTAAAATCATAAATAATCACAGAACATTAAAAAGAAAGATAAAAACATAAAATCCCTCAGTTGTATGCACAGCTAAACAGGACTGTTTTTAACCTGGTTTTAAACATTGTCAGAGAGGAGGCCTGTCTCACATCTTCAGGAAGATTGTTCTAAGAATGTGTCTTACAGAAGAAGAAGAAAAATTTGACTTAATTTTTCTTCTGTGCAGCTTTCCCATATTCATCTAAATAATATTGTTGAAATTAGGAGTAATTGAAGATATTGCCACAGTCACCAAGGCAACATCACCAGAATGTCCCTTCAGAGTGGCTGTAGCCATGGCTGTAGATGGGCTGCTTGGACACACACTTTTGCTTTATACTTATAGATTATCTACTTTACTCATATTATGTCTTCTGAGGTCATTTGCATACTATTCTGGACACACAAAATAGCTGCCACTATCACCACGTGAACATTATGTATGTGTATATGCCGTAATTGGTTGTGAATAAATTATATTGTGTTTCAGTCCAAGATGGCCGATGCTGACGTCTCAATGCCTCCTCTTCACTCCCCTGTCACCAGGAGGACGGATGCCAACACAGGTGAAGTTCAATTAAATTACATTTATTTGTGTATTGCCTAATATCACAATAGTTTTCCCAAAGGACTTTTCAAAGTTGTGGATTTGACAACAGATCAGATAATCAAACAGTTTCAACATAGGAGATGCAATAATAACACATCTGTGTCATTGGTCCATAGAGAGTGGGCTGACCACTGTCCAGAAATGTTAATTAATGTGCTGGATCATCATTGTCCATAGACCCTCCTGCATCAGCAAAGAACCACTCATCCAGGGCTGAGGCTGTAGATCCAGGACTAAGGTTGTTGATTAGTGGTGTCCAGACCTGTCCAGAAAGGGCCGCTGTGGCTGCAGGTTTTATACCAGACCCAACACCCGAGCAAAGCAGTCTCCCATGTCCTCAGATTGTAATCATTGCAGCGCATGTTATTTATTATTGCTGCTCTGTCTTTTCACACGTCACACCCTGATTTGTGATACTATATATAAGATAAGTTAAACTATTGATTTCACAATGCAGAAATATACATACAGTATTTTTTAAATCTCCACATAGTCAGTGGAGATTACACTAAATGATTAATTCAAACTATTTTTAACAATAAACAAGTGCCCTTAGGCTACTAAAACAGAAATGAAATATAATTATAATTATAACTGTAACACTAACAGCTGTGTTTATGTGCAGTGATCGACCCGGAAGTGGCTCTGAAGGCCTGTCAGGAGGTACTGTTGCAAGTCCAACTGCACAACCAGGACCAAGACCAAGAAGGAGATCAGGACCAAGACCAAGACCAAGACCAAGACGGAGACCAAGACCAGGATCATTACCAGGATCATGACCATGACCAAGACCAAGATGGAGAACAGGATCAGAACTTCTCAGAGCTCCCAGAAACATATTACCACCACATTCATACAGACCTGAGCGCAGACTCTTATTGTGACATGAGATCTGACGCACACAAGTACCCACACACGGACACTCACACAAATGCAGACACAGAGGTGCATGCGCACATGGATGAGCAAACGGACACGCAGAAAGACGCACACACAGTCACGCGCACAGATACACACATTATCACACACACAGATGCACACACAGATGCACACACAGATGCACACACAGATGCACACACTGATGCACACACATACACGGATGCGCACACACACACAAACGTGCTAACTCACAAAGACCCGCCCACAGGCTCAAACTGGCTCATCACAGAAGAGGAGGAGGATGGTGGAATCGCGTTGCCTTTGAGGCAACAGACGTGTAAACAGACGTGTAAACAGACGTGTAAACAGACGTGTAAACAGACGTGTAAACAGTCGTGGCTGCTGCGCCTGTTTGAGTCAAAGCTGTTTGACGTTTCCATGGCAATCTCGTACTTGTACAAGTCGAAGGAGCCAGGCGTGCAGGCATACATTGGGAACCGTCTTTTCAGTTTCCCCGAAGCCGATGCAGAGTTCTACCTGCCGCAGCTGCTCAGCATGTACGTGCACATGGATGCAGAGGTGGGAGACGCCATCCGCCCGTATTTGGTGAGTGTGTTCACGCTTGTGTGTGTGTGACCTGTGTGCGCGTCTGTTGGTGTGTGTGTGTGTGTGTGTGCTGGGACATGATGCTACTGTTAGCCCCCTGCTGGATGGCTGAAACATGACGCGCTGTTTCTGTTCAGTTGTATCGTTGTCGTGGGTCCATCACCTTCTCCCTGCTCTCTGCTTGGCTCCTGGGGGCCTACTCCAGCGACATGCACATCTCTACCCAGAGGCACTCCAGGGGAACCAAATTGAGAAGACTGATCCTGTCTGAAGAGCTAAAGCCCAACCACAACCACAGCTGCCATCTACACACAGGTGAGATGCACAACCACAAACACAGCTGTAATCACATCTGATACCAGGATTAATGTGAGGAGCAGGACAGACCTGAGACCAGGACTAATGTGAGAGGAGCAGGACAGAGACCTGAGACCAGGACTAATGTGAGAGGAGCAGGACAGAGACATGAGACCAGGACTAATGTGAGAGGAGCAGGACAGAGACATGAGACCAGGACTAATGTGAGAAGAGCAGGACAGAGACCTGAGAGCAGGACTAATGTGAGAGGAGCAGGACAGAGACCTGAGACCAGGACTAATGTGAGAGGAGCAGGACAGAGACATGAGACCAGGACTAATGTGAGAGGAGCAGGACAGAGACCTGAGACCAGGACTAATGTGAGAGGAGCAGGACAGAGACCTGAGACCAGGACTAATGTGAGAGGAGCAGGACAGAGACATGAGACCAGGACTAATGTGAGAGGAGCAGGACAGAGACATGAGACCAGGACTAATGTGAGAAGAGCAGGACAGAGACCTGAGAGCAGGACTAATTTGAGGACACGTTGGACAGGGTGTTTCTGTGGTTTGACTGACCTCCAGCAGCCTGTAGAGACAGAACAGAAACGGCCCTACTAGTGACCCCTTGTGGCACTTCTTAGGTCGACCAGTGTGTGATGACGTGTCCTTGGCCTCTCCGTCTCGCCGCACTCATCAAAGATCGAAATCGGACGCTTGCACAGGGACCAGTATGACTGGAGCAGCTCTGCGGAGGAGCGGCAGTAACCCCCGCGTGGAGCATGAGGAGGTGAAACATCAGTCCATCTTCATCTTTACTCTGTTTACGAGTCATCATTGATCAAGGGTATTCGCTTAATGAAGACAGTTACCTTTGACCCAGTGTGAGAATGCCTAAATGTTTCAAACTTACCGCAGTGATTTTGATGTGTTTACAGTGCCTTGCGAAAGTATTTGGTCCCCTTGAACCTTTCAACATTTCGCCACATTTCAGGCTTCAAACATAAAGATATAAAAATTATTTTTTTTGTCAATAATCAAAAAGTGGGACACAATCGTGAAGTGGAACGAAATTTATTGGATAATTTAAACTTTTTTAACAAATAAAAAACTGAAAAGTGGGCGTGCAATATTATTCGGCCCCCTTGCGCTAATACTTTGTAGCGCCACCTTTTGCTGCAATTACAGCTGCAAGTCGCTTGGGGTATGTCTCTATCAGTTTGCACATTGAGAGACTGGAATTCTTGCCCATTCTTCCTTGCAAAACAGCTCGAGCTCAGTGAGGTTGGATGGAGAGCGTTTGTGAACAGCAGTCTTCAGCTCTTTCCACAGATTCTCGATTGGATTCAGGTCTGGACTTTGACTTGGCCATTCTAACACCTGGATACGTCTATTTGTGAACCATTCCATTGTAGATTTGGCTTTATGTTTTGGATCATTGTCCTATTGGAAGATAAATCTCCGTCCCAGTCTCAGGTCTTTTGCAGACTCAAACAGGTTTTCTTCCAGAATGGTCCTGTATTTGGCTCCATCCATCTTCCCATCAATTTTAGCCATCTTCCCTGTCCCTTCTGAAGAAAAGCAGGACCAAACCATGATGCTGCCACAACCATGTTTGACAGTGGGGATGGTGTGTTCAGGGTGATGAGCTTTTACACCAAACATATTGTAATATGGACTAATTTCCTTATTAATGTGATAACTTTACTTTGTATGACATAAAGAGTAAGGGTTGGGCTCACACAGAAGATCTTAGGTTTGCCTACTGGAGCTGGGGTGAGTAAAACACAACCAACAGTAACAGTGTAGTTATGGTACCATATATTGTGAAAGAAGAAATTTACATATTTACAACAGGGGAAAAAAAATAGAAAACCATTTACAAGATTACTGCAGTATTTTGATTAGAGTGCACCAAGTTGTTATAAAGTTCGTTGTGGTTCAACAACCGTAGTCCATGGAATAAGAAACAAAAATATAATCCAGCAATTGCCAATGACACCCCACAAAGTATGCTAATATTTGGGTATGTGTCAGTAGTGGCGGCAGTAGCTCAGTTGGTAGAGCGTTGGCCTTTGAGCCAGAAGGTCGTGGGTTCTGCTCAGGACTTTCACCATCGACTCCCACTGACTACTGTCGTTGTGTCCTTGGCAAGACACTTAACCTCTGGGAACACCAGCCACAGTGGGGCGGCTGCGGCTGTAAAGTGCCAAACTGCCGTTGTGTCCTTAGGCAAGACACTTCACCCCCATTGCCTAGAATGAGTCTAGTGTGTGTGTGAATGGTTGGTGGTGGTCGGAGGGGCCGATGGCACAGACTGGTTGCCTCGCCTCTGTCAGTGTGCCCCAGGGCAGCTGTGGCTACAGTAGTAGTTTATCACCACCGTGTATGGAGTGAATGAATAATGACACATGTGAAGCGTCTTTGAGTGTCCAGAAAAGCGCTATATAAAACCGATGCATTAGTAGTGAGAGTGGTGGGGGACAGGCTGTGTCAGCCTCCTACCAGACCAGGGTTGCTCAGAAGAAAGAATCCAAGATCGTCTCAGCTCGCCATCACGTCACCCAGTATAGTCCACCTGGCCAATTCCCAGCGTATGCCCAGCGCGATGGCGGCAAAAGACTCCCCATGGCCCAGTAGTCAGCTCTGTCCACAGCTGTCATCCAGCCTCCCCACACACGTCTGAGTGAGAGGGCTGCACACAGGTGGACCTAATCGTTCTACTCGCGCTACCATTGGCTGCGGAGGTCACGTGACGATTGCATCGCAAATACAGCGTTTTAATTAAAAAAATAAACAGCGGGGCAGCAGGGATAATATTAATATAATACACACATAAATAATTGTTTCAGTATGCATATATTAATAATATTCAGGTTTTTCCACCAGGGTTACAATATCGTTTTGCATTGTGGCCAAAAAGTTCGATTTTGGTTTCATCTGACCAGAGCACCTTCTTCCACATGTTTGGTGTGTCTCCCAGGTGGCTTGTGGCAAACTTTAAACGAGACTTTTTATGGATATCTTTGAGAAATGGCCACTCTTCCATAAAGGCCAGATTTGTGCAGTGCACGACTGATTGTTGTCCTATGGACAGACTCTCCCACCTCAGCTGTAGTTATCTGCAGTTCATCCAGAGTGATCATGGGCCTCTTGCCTACATCTCTGATCAGTCTTCTCCTTGTTTGAGATGAAAGTTTGGAGGGACGGCTGGGTCTTGGTAGATTTGCAGTGGTCTGATACTCCTTCCATTTCAATATAATTGCTTGCACAGTGCTCCTTGAGATGTTTAAAGCTTGGGAAATCTTTTTGTATCCAAATCCGGCTTTAAACTTCTCCACAACAGTATCTCGGACCTGCCTGGTGTGTTCCTTTGTCTTCATGGTTCTCTCTGTGCTTTAAACAGAACCCTGAGACTATCAAAGAGCAGGTGCATTTATACGGAGACTTGATTACACACAGGTGCATTCTATTTATCATCATCAGTCATTTAGGACAACATTGGATCATTCAAAGATCCTCACTGAACTTCTGGAGTGAGTTTGCTGCACTGAAAGTAAAGGGGCCGAATAATATTGCATACCCCACTTTTCAGTTTTTTATTTGTTAAAAAAGTTTAAATTATCTAATAAATTTCGTTCCACTTCACGATTGTGTCCCACTTGTTGATTTATGACAAAAAATATTTTTTTTATATCTTTATGTTTTGAAGCCTGAAATGTGGCAAAAGGTTCAAGGGGGCCGAATCCTTTCGCAAGGCCCTGTATATTTATTTATATGGCATGGACAATGTGCAGAGTCCATATAATAATGAAGTGTCTCCATCACTCCTGACAAGAGCTAAAGTGAACCTGAACCCGGCTCATGGCTTATAACACATGTCAAAAAGTCCATAAATGCTGTGGAGTGTCCTGTATCATCACCACTGTCCTTGGATCCTCCTGCATTGACAATGAACAACTCCATTAACTCCATTAAACATGTGTCGTCTCTCACCCTCCTCAGCCCGAGCGCCTGCGTCCCCAGAGGGAGTTTGTGAAGTCGCTCCTCTGCATCGGGAAACGTTTGGCCACATTGCCGACCAAGGAGCAGAAGACGCAGCGGCTAATCTCCGAGCTCTCTCTGCTCAACCACAAGCTGCCCGCCCGAGTCTGGCTCCCCACGGCCGACCACCAGCACCACGTGGTCAGAGTGCCTCATACCCAAGCAGTGGTGCTTAACTCTAAAGACAAGGTGAGATCCAGTGGCCTGTCTGTCTCACTGGTTTGTCTTGCTGGTCCCTCTCTCTACTAGTCTTTCTCTTGCTGGTCTCTCCCTCACTGGTCTCTCTTGCTGTTCTCTTTCTCTGGGATCTCTCTTGCTGGTCTTTCTCTCTGTGGTCTCTCTCTCCATGGTCTCTCTTGCTGGTCACTGTCTTGCTAGTCTCTTTCTCGCTGGTCTCTCTCTGGTTCTAACCGGTCTCTGTCCCCAGGCTCCATACATAATCTACGTGGAGGTCCTGGAGTGTCCTTCCTTTGAGACCTCTCCAGTCCCAGCGCGGATCCCTGAGACTCGGATCAGGACTGCACGCTCGGCTGAGAACCTGGACTGTGGCTCTGGGGGCGGAGCTATGTTGACGGAAAACCCAGGGGGCGGAGCCATGACCACGGAGCACCGAGCAGGAAGTTACTCCACAGTCCAGAACTATGACAATGACGACGAGGCCTGGGCCACAGACGACATTGGCCAGCTGCAGGTGGAGGTCAGCGGACGCACCATCAGTACTTTTCTCACAAAGACTTCTAGTGAATCATTTATTATACATTTTAAGAAGAAAGATTATGCGTTATTTTGGACATTGAGATTATGATGAGATGATAATAATATCATGTCATGTTTTATGTACATAATAAAAACGTCAGTAGAAAATATTTATGGTGAAACAGGGAGCAGTGTCTGCAGTCAGAGCTCCCACGCTGCCACCAGAGTTGTAAATGACCGTAATCACAGACATGTGATTGTAATAATTTTACCTAAGGTGTGTGTGTGTGTGTCTGTCTGTGTGTTTCTGTTTCTGTGTGTGTCTCTCTTGTGTGTGTGTTTCAGGGCGAGGGCCAGACCAGCAGCAGTGATAACATCAGTCAGTTCTCCGTGGACAGCATCACCAGTCTGGACAGTAAAGAGCCTGTGTTCATCGCCGCAGGGGACATCCGGCGCCGTCTGTCCGAGAATCTGGCCCACACCCCAACTACATTCAGACGGGACCCTGAGGACCCCTCTGCGGTGGCCCTGAAGGAGCCCTGGATGGAGAAAGTCCGGTACGACACTTGCAGAGGCCACGGACAAAGCATGCTCTTATCTGCAATTCACGTGTTTGGAGAATATAGGCCACGCCCTCATGTGAGTCTTGTGATTATAGACCACGCCCCCCTGTGGGTCATGTGATATAGGCCACGCCTTCATGCGGGGAATGTGATATTAGGACTGGAAAAACAAAATGTGATATTCGAATCGGATTGTTGTCTCTGCTTTAGCTCCTGTTTTAGTTCCTGTTTTGGCGTGTTTTCGTCTTCTTGCTTTGACCGGCTTGTGTCCTGTGACCACTTTGCGTTTCGCTGATTGGTTGCCGCACGTGTGCCCAGCGGTAAAAGGTTTCGTTTCTTTTACACCCAGGGAGATATTACAAGCATTTATGGGTCAAAATAAATATTTGATAATATTCACATTTTAGTATAAATTAATCAATGAAATTTCGAATATTGTTTTTGAGCTTAAGTAGGTAGGTGCAGGTAGTGTTTGTTTTATGTGCACCTGCGAGCTGTCTTGCTTGGCTCGACTTGTGGGCTACACCTCCTAGCCCCTGGGAGCTGTGGCCTTGGTCCTCATGTTGTAGCCTGATGGCGCGTTCAGACTGCCGACGCTGGAACGCTGACACCACGCGCACCAGACGCACATTCCCTTCGGGTTCTTCACACCAGAAGTCCCGCCGGAAGTGGCGGAAGTAACGGGCGGACTTTGATGCTAATGGAGTTAAGCTAGCGGCTTTTTGTGTAAAGTTCTTCTCCAATAATGCAGCTCTGCAGTGTCTCTGTGTTCAAAGACCTTCCAGAGACTTTATACAACAGCAGTATGTCTTCACGGAGGTACGCTATACGTTTATTTTATTATTGGACGGTACTTCCGCATCGGCGAACATTTGTTGTATCAGAATCAGAATAATTTTTATTGCCACGTAAGTAACAGCAAGTCACAGACTTGGAAATTGCTTTGGCTCAGTGCAGCAGCCAGAAAGAGATAATTAAAATAAAGAATAAAAAACACTTCTAAGGAATAAATTTAAATTTAAAATAGAGTTACAGTTACTATTTACAATATGGTGCACACAATGTAAGGTGACAGTAGTACAGTGAAGTAAAGTGACGTATGATGGGCAGTAAAGTGACTTTATAAAGGGCGGGGGGACAGGTTAAGAAGTGTTCAAGAGTCCAACAGCAGAGGGGAAGAAACTGTTCTTGTGGCGGGAGGTTCTAGTCCTGATGGACCGCAGCCTCCTGCCTGAGCGGAGTGGTTGGAATAGTCCATGTGCAGGGTGAGAGGGGTCGGCTGTGATACGACCAGCCCGGCCTCGAGCTTGGGCGACGTATAGGTCCTGCAGCGATGGAAGGCTGCGGCCGATCACTTCCTCTGCAGAGCGCACAATGCGCTGTAGTCTCTGTTTGTCCCCGACTGTGGCTCCAGCGAACCACACGGTGATGGAGGAGGTGAGGATGGACTCGATGATGGCCGTGTAGAACTGCACCAACATCTGTGCAGGCAGCTTGGCTTTCCTGAGCTGCCGCAGGAAGTACATCCTCTGCTGGGCCTTCTTGATGAGGGAGCTGATGGTCGGCTCCCACTTGAGGTCCTGGGTGATGGTGGTGCCCAGGAAACGGAAGGACTCCACAGAGGTGATGGGGGAGTCCATCACGGAGGGTGGGGGTGGGGGGACAGTGCTCTTCCTGAAGTCCACAATCATCTCCACTGTCTTCTGGGCGTTCAGCTCCAGGTTGTTACCACTGCACCAGGACACCAGCCGGTCCACCTCCCTCCTGTAGGCGGACTCATCGTTGTTGGAGATGAGTCCAATGAGGGTGGTGTCGTTCGCGAACTTGATCAGCTTCACGTAGTCGTGGCTGGAGGTGCAGTGGTTGGTGTACAGGGAGAAGAGCAGAGGAGAAAGAACACAGCCCTGTGGGGCTCCTGTATTTATAATTCGAGAGTCCGAGACATTCTTCCCGAGATGCACTCGCTGCTTCCTGTCTGTCAGGAAGTCAGTGATCCACCTGCAGGTGGAATCGGGCACGTTGAGCTGGGTGAGCTTGTCCTGGAGCAGGGATGGCAGGATGGTGTTGAAGGCAGAGCTGAAGTCCACGAACAGGACCCTGGCGTAGGTCCCCGGGGAGTCCAGGTGCTGTAGGATGTGGTGGAGGGCCAGGTTAATGGCGTCGTCTACAGATCTGTTGGCTCTGTAGGCGAACTGCAGGGGGTCCAGGAGGGGGGAGGTGAGGGACTTGAGATGGGAGAGGACCAGGCGTTCAAATGACTTCATGATGACAGACGCAAGTGCTACAGGTCTGTAGTCGTTGAGTCCTGTGATCCTGGGCTTCTTTGGGACAAGGACAATGATGAGGATTTGAAGCAGGCCGGGACATGGCAGGACTGTAGAGAGGTGTTGAAAATGTCAGTGAACACAGGAGTAAGCTCACTGGCGCAGTGTCTCAGAGTGGCCGGAGACACGGGGTATACACAGTCACGGGAGCATGAGAACGCATATGTTCATAAGCACTGTGTCCCCCATTGTCAACCCTGGTTTTAGTCCTGGTGGAGCTCCTGTTTTGGAGTATTTTCAGTCTGCTCGCTCAGACCGCTAATGTCCCTGTGACCAATATTTGCTGGACGCTAACGTCCAGCAATATTTATCTCCTGCGTGCGTCAATTTTCGCATGATCCGCGGAAAATCATGGATCTTGCATTGTGGCGACTTTCAATGCAAAGTCAATGGTGACGCGCGTTTGAGCGTGGAACTGCATGTGCGTCTCGGGACGCACGCACGGATTGCGCGGCAAAGGTGTTGCAGAGGCGCAGGAGCAGAATATCGAAACACGCCGGAGATAAAGATTGCTGTGCCTTTCCTCGGGACGCTCATGCAGCGACCAATCAGAGAGCCGCAAAGTGATCACGGGGACATTAGCGGTCTGAGCGAGCAGACTGAAAATACTCGTAAACAGCCAAAACAGGAGCTACACCAGAACTAAACCAGAGTTGACAATGGGGGACACAGTGCTTGTAAACAAATGCGTTCTCATGCTCCCGTGACTGTATACAACTGCTTTGAGCATGTTCGCCGATGCGGAAGTACCGTTTAGAAGTAAAATAAACTTACTGCTGTTATTAAAAGTCTCTGGAAGGTCTCTGGACACAGAGGTGCTGCAGAACTGCGTTATTGGAGAAGAACTTTACACAAAAAGCCGCTAGCTTAACTCCGTTAGCTTCAATGTCCACCTGCTACTTCCGCCACTTCCGGCGGGCGCCACCGCAGACCAGGACTTCTGGTCTGAGGACCCCTGCATCTGAAATTGAGAGAATGTGCATCTGGTGCGCGAGGCGTCAGCGTTCCAGCATCGGCAGTCTGAACGTGCCATGAGTCCTGGATCTATAGCTTGTCGGTCTGTGGGAGTTAATCTCTCTCTATGTGGGCCTCACTGAGGTTTCTCACTTTTCCCGCAGGGTCTTGAGTTTTTCCTTGCTGTTGCGGGAAGGTCAGTTAGAGCCTTGTGAGGTCCAACTAAAAGGACAGTGGTAATGATCCAGAATTGAATAATGTTTGTAATTTCCCACCGTATTATGTGTTTCCTCAGCCGTATCCGGGAGGCGTCTCCGTACGGACATCTGCTGAACTGGAGACTTCTTTCTGTGATCGTCAAGTGTGGAGACGACCTGCGGCAGGAGTTGCTGGCCTTTCAGGTCCTCCAACAACTGCAGGTCAGAAAGAATAAGAGTAATTACACAGTATACAGTATATCCTATGACCCCTACCCTCTTTTACCCTATGACGGTAAGATGGACCTTCAGCAACTGCAAAAGATGTCATGATCACCTCTGTATAAAATGTCACGGTTTCTGTGATGCTATTCTTGGGTTTCATATGACGTCAGGAGAGTGCGAATAACAAACGTGGGACAGGACGCAACGCACCCTGGCAGTGCAGTCTGCCGGGTATATACACGGAGATATAGTAGACCGTTACAACAACCGTACACCGCATAGGATGAGAGCCTTTAGACTCCAAAACAGACAAGGTTTACATGGTTTTCAATGGGAGCAAAACTGAGTTGTCCCACCTCTGCTCATTCGCCCCCTACAGGCCAGGTTAACGAAACCCAAGAATTCCCCCACCTCTGCCATATTCTACACTCTGGGTGTTTTTAGATTCCGTTTGCAGTCTATGCTCCTAGCTAAGCGGGCGCCGCCATGTTGACTGAGACAAATGCAAAGGGGGGTGCACACGCAAGGAGGCACAAAGAAGGCAATTGAGCCAAAGCTGCAAAAGTGAAATAAAAATATTTCATTGATATATACAATATGTAAAAATTCATATCGAGCTTCTGAACATCCAGGGGGAGGATATTGAGCTGGTGGACAGCTTCAAGTATCTGGGTGTTCACATTAACAAAAAATTGGACTGGTCCCATAACGCCAACGACCTGCACAAGAAGGACCAAAGTCGCCTCTTCCTTCTGAGGAGGCTTCGGTCCTTCGGATTGAGCAGGCCTCTGCCCAGGACCTTTTATGACTCTGTGGTAGCCTCTGCCATACACTACGCTGCCGTGTGCTGGGCCCCGGGCAGCACAGAGCAGGACAGGAGCAGACTCAACAAGCTGGTCAGGAGGGCCAGCTCCACTCTGGGCTGCTCCCTGGACTCTGTGGAGGAGGTGATGGACAGGAGGGTGCTAGTCAAAGTCACCTCCATCATGGACAACACCTCCCACCCACTGCACAGGACTGTAGAGGAGCTGAGGAGCTCCTTCAGTGGAAGACTGAGGCACCCTCAGTGCAAGAAGGAGCGCTACCGCAGGGCCTTTATCCCCACCGCTGTCAGACTGTACAATAAGTCACTTTTTATTGTACATAATATATCCTGCATTTAACATGTTTGCACATTTCTTTCTTTCGCACAATCTTGAGTGATTCTATCCATGCCAGATGCAACATGTAAATTTCTCCTGTGTGAGATCAATAAAGTCTATCTTATCTTGTTGTTGCCGCACAGAGCATCTGGACGCAGGAGCGAGTTCCTCTGTGGATTAAACCGTACAAAATTGTGGTGATGTCATCAGACAGCGGGATGATCGAACCAGTGCTGAATGCAGTTTCCCTGCACCAGGTATTTGCTAATGCTAACAGGTGTGCTTATAGTAACAGATCTGTGCTAATGCAAACCATATCTGTGAGGCTAAAGGTCAGTTGATGAATAAGTGAGCCCTGGGGTACCCGGTTCGGAAATGGACCGAAACTTTTGGCCCACTCTTCTGCTGTTCTCGCATACCCTCACTTGTACAGGGTCTGTTCTATGCTTAGCTCGATGATCAATGAACTTCTCCCTAATGCATCACAGGTGCGTAAGCAGAGTCAGCTCTCCCTGTTGGATTACTTCTTACAAGAACACGGCAGCTTCACCACAGAAGAGTTTCTGTCGGCACAGAGGAACTTTGTCCAGAGCTGCGCCGGCTACAGCCTCATCTGCTACCTGCTGCAAGTGAAGGACAGGTGCGTGAGCCATGCCCTCCAGCAGAGCCCTGCCCCTCCCCATTCACTGCCCCTGCCATGCCGCTGCCCAGCCCCTCCCTTCCAGTTCTCTCTGCTCCAGGTGTCACCCTCTCTCTCTCTGACAGACACAATGGGAACATCTTGCTGGACTCTGAAGGACACATTATCCACATCGACTTCGGCTTCATACTGTCCAGCTCCCCGAGGAACCTGGGCTTTGAGACGTCAGCCTTCAAGCTGACGGCCGAGTTTGTGGACGTGAGTCTGTCCTCTGTCCCTCATGTCCCTTTGTCCTTCTCATGTCTCTGTCCCTCATGTCCCTTTGTCCTTCTCATGTCTCTGTCCTTCATGTCCCTGTGTCCTTCTCATGTCCTTCTCATGTCCCTGTGTTCTTCTCATGTCCCTGTGTCCTTCTCATGTCCCTGTGTCCTTCTCATGTCCCTGTGTCCTTCTTGTCCCTGTGTCCTTCATGTCCCTGTGTCCTCTGTCCTCAGGTGATGGGAGGTTTGGATGGGGACATGTTCCTATATTATAAGATGCTGATGCTTCAGGGTTTGATCGCGGCTCGTAAACACATGGAGAAGGTCCTTCAGATTGTGGAGATTATGCAGCAAGGTACTGTCCCCATTCTCCTGCCTATCCCTACTCATCATGTCCTCCTCCACCTCATAACACAAACCTCCTCCAAAACATATCTCTTTCTCCATATGTCCACTTCTCATCATTCTCCTTGTCCTCACATCTTCCTCTTCTCCCCCTCTTCTTCATTATGTCCTCCTCACGTCCACCTCCTCATCCTCAAGTTCTCCTCTTCCCTCGTCCTCCTTCTCCTCATTTTCGTCATCATCTTCTCCTCACCTGGTCCTCCTCTCCTTAGGGTCCCACCTCCCCTGCTTCCATGGCTCCAGCACCATCCGTGGCCTGAAGGAGCGCTTTCACATGAGTCTGACGGAGGAGCAGCTGCAGGGTCTGGTGGAGCAGCTGGTGGACGGCTCCATGAGGTCCATCACTACCAAGCTCTATGACTCCTTCCAGTACGTGACCAATGGGATCATGTGACCGACAGGGTCATGTGACCCACGAGATTATGTCACCGACGGGATCATAGACCGACGGCGTCGTGTGACCGACTGGGTCGTCTGACCGACTGGATCGTGTGACCGACGGGGTTGTGTGACCGACGGGGTTGTGTGACCGACGGGGTCGTGTGACCGACGGGGTCGTGTGACCGACGGGGTCGTGTGACCAACTGGGTACGTGTGACCCCCAAGATCGCATAACCGTTGGGATCATGTGACCAACAAGTTCATGAAACCGACAGGGTCGCGTGATAGACGTGATTGACACGACCGGCGGGATCGGTATGACCAACGGGATTGCCGTGACTGGAAGCACACGTAACATGTGACCAGCATGCAGTCATGCTAAAATGGCCGCCAGAGCGGAGATGAGATGGCCGCGACGGACACAATACAAGGGACATGAATGAGTGTTTTTCACCACAGAAACATCTTTCAGCCGCATCTGCCTTTTGTTCCTATGTGTACCTTTATAATTTGCAGAAATGTCCTTTTGTATTTCAACACATTTTATCCATGTTCTAATGGCAAAGATCATTCATGTCACATTGTACTAAAATCATATAAGTTATTTCAAGTTTTCAGCGTTTTTGTGGATTGACACAGAATGGCAGCCGGAATGTCTCACGTTCACACTTAAAGATTCTGGTAATTGATGGTCCCATTAGCATAACAGTAATTACTAAAACATTAGTGTAAGATTTACCCAGTGCGAAGTACTGTTTGCATTGTGTAAATATTAGCAACATTAGCTTCATTAACATATCTAATAATCACGTAGACGTCTGGAGTATTGGTCTCATTCAACAATAAATGACTAATCACATTTCAAATCAGTCCAAAATGAACTGTTTCCTAATGATTTGTTCCAATTGACCCAAACCCGAAACCCTGGCTGCAGTCGCTCCTCATTTTCTGCAAATGTTTTAATTTCCAGCGATTTGAGGCTGTTGTGTTTTGCATGTGAAGCTTTGGCACCAGCACAAAACACTAAGTTCAGAAACTTGACTTTATTAAACCAGTGCAGCTGTATTTCCACCTTAGGACCCTTTGGTGAAAAGCTGTGTGTTCAATCTGTCCGATCTATGACATCATAGAACCCTGTCCTCAGCTTCTGTCCATGTTGGAGTTCAGAGCCACATGGGTTTTAAGGCTGAACAGAGCTGGACCAATGCTCAAACATGTGACTGATTCAGTTTTCATTGTTCGAGTGAAAAAATTGTGTTTTCTGTGGACATGATCTCTGAAATGAGGTAAAACAGCCATGGCCTCATCTGGAGCAGAAGAGGAGGTTAGGCCCCATACATCGCACTTTCAGGTCTCAGGAGACGGAAGCATGGTGTGCGATCTACGCGGAGCCTGCGTGGCTTTCATTCGTCCCTGGATTTGATAATGGTCTTGAATTTCAGCCACTTGTATTTTAAATTTAATTTCTTGTACATTCCTGTTTTTATTTTTGTTTTTCCACCTTGTGTGAACGAGTTACCTTTGTCCGTCCTCATACTTCTGTTTGAACTTAACTGCAACATTAACCACGTGTTTTACTTTTGGCAAAATAAAATATTTCGTTCAAACTGCTTTTGTTTCAAGCTTCAACATTTTTATTTCTGAATTGATTGAGGCTGTGTTCTATGGAGGACCAAAAATGACTAAAGTATAAATAAATAAATAAATACAGGAATATATTAATAAATACATTCATTTTGGACAATAAAAACTAAATATTTACATTGATGTGTTAAATATTACTATGAAATCAAATAAATATACTTTTATTTAGGTTATTTATCAATATCTACATTTTGTCCTTTATTTATTTATCCATTTATTGCATATATTTATTTATGTATTTCTACATTTCTTCATTTATTTATTTATGTATTTCTACATTTCTTCATTTATTTATGTATTTCTACATTTCTTCATTTATTTATGTATTTCTACATTTCTTCATTTATTTATGTATTTCTACATTTCTTCATTTATTTATTTATGTATTTCTGTGTTGCCGTATGCTAATTAGGTGGGCGGTGCTGAACTCAATGATTGGTGGGCAGTAGGGCAACCAGACAGAAGCAAAGTTAGGCCTAGCGTACATCGACAGAGAAACTGGGGACAACTAGTTGCAAGGCGGCTTTTGGCAACTGAGAGGAGATGATGGAGATGATCAGTTGAAATCGGTCGATGTGCGCGCTCTTACAACTGGAGATGATCAGTCGGTCTCCAGTTTCAGTCAGTTGCCCGTGTTCTACTTTTCGGCAACTAGTTGTCCTCAGTTTTTGAGATATGACCCGATGTGCGCGCTCCATGCGCCGCTCCGACAATGTGTGTGTATTGCGTGTATTGCGAGCCCGCAACAGTTTATGTCAGAAAACACACTGTAGTTGAGGCCAGTTGCTGTCGATGTACGCGCTGTTATTCCCGAGACTGGTCTGCTACTGGGAGTTGCCCGTTTTCGTCAGATTGTCGATGTGTGCGGGGCAGCAACTCGTATGCGACGGATATAATCAGTTGCCAGTCCGATGTACGCTTGGCTTTAGCCTTCTCGGTTTGTGAGAGGATGTGAAGCTTCTGCTTGTTGAAGAGCGTCCAGCACAGTTGCATCAAAGTCTACCTCTGGGTCAGCACTGTGATGAACTAAAACATCTAATAGTCTTTCCAGCCGAAAGAGTAGATAGTCCTCAGGTGCATTATGCTCAACATCATTAACATAATTTGCTAATGCTCTTAATTGATGAGCAACGGCTCCTAAAAAACTTACATTCGAAACTGCCATCATACCACACAAAAGTGCACAGAGGATCTCTAGCTAGCTAACAGAGTACCGTAATGTGAGGCAGTAATGATTATGATCGAGACCAGAGTTCACGCAATCCTAACCAATCCTGTTCTAGATTGAGTTCAGCACCGCCCACCTAATTAGCATACAGGAACACAGAAATACATAAATAAATAAATGAAGAAATGTAGAAATACATAAATAAATAAATGAAGAAATGTAGAAATACATAAATAAATAAATGAAGATATGTAGAAATACATAAATAAATATATGCAATAAATGGATAAATAAATAAAGGAAAAAATGTAGATATTGATAAATAACCTAAATAAAAGTATATTTGATTTCAGAGTAATATTTAGCATATCAATGTAAATATTTAGTTTTTATTGTCCAAAATGAATGTATTTATTAATATATTCCTGTATTTATCTATTTATTTATTTATTTATACTTTAGTCATTTTTGGTCCTCCATAGTGTTCTACTTCACCTGCACGTCCCTGAAGCATGGATTGTAAATTTCTGAATTCTGAAGGAGCAGCAAAGGGAGCGGAGGAATATCCCCATAAACATTTTACGACTTCCGAAAACTTTTAGTTGAAAGTTCTCAATGCCCCCGGTCTGAACCTTAACCTTTGAATTTTAACAAAGAAATTGCATCCAACTGAATATTTGGGCGAGTTTATGTAGTAAAACAGTCAGTTTCCACACATTTTATTTTCAGTTTGATGAGAAACAGCAGTGCGGTGTACAGAGCGTCCACCAGAGGCCTCAGCAGCCTCACATTATTGCTTTGATCAAAAACATGTTTATTCATTATTTTGAGATAAATATTGAATTAAATCCACATGTCTGACTCAGGGCCGAGATCAGTCCAGACCAAACTGTAAAAACTCAAACTGAACTTTGTTATTCAAGTTTTTGAAAACCTTTTTGTACAGTTTGTCATAGATTAAACTTTGCAAACAGTTTTTTATCCAAAACCACAGGACAGTTCTACTAAAGAGCAGAAGTGTAAAAGTACAATTATACGACGAGCTTGAAACGTGAATAAATATGAATAATAACAATATAATATATTACTAATAATATCATGACAGAGACATTCACATGTGCAGATCCCCACCCCAAATGCGCCGTCCTCAAACCCCTGTGGTAGTCTCTTACTCCAAATATTTCTACTTCATAAATTCACATTATAGACGATGAAAGTCCAGATTCGGATGCTTTTAAAAAACGTTGCAGTTTCTTTATGTAAAAAGTACAAATGTTGTGATTTTACTAATTTCAGGAAAATTCAGTTCAAAACGAGAGATACCAATATGGTACAAACAAAAAGTCTAGACAGAGTCTCGAGCCAGACCGAGAACTGGACCCAGTCCAGACTGAGTCTAGAGTCAGGTACATTCTAAAAGTTTGCATCGTCCTTATTTTTTGTGTTCGACTTTGAGATTAAACCTTTTCACCTGCAGATGTTTGAGTGGATCCAGATTCAATACCAAGTACATCCTCGAGTCTTCTCTGCAATTTCTTTCAGGTTTAAAAAGTGAAAAACTCAAAATCAAAGTGATCTATGGGTCAAAAATTGACCACTGTCTCTTTCCTCTGGGTTCAATCCAAATCTGACTGCTGACCCTCACTCGGTTTATTGTTTATTGCTCATTTGTCCGTTAGTGTCTCCGTTAGCACTTCTGTTAGTGTAGCGTTGTTGGGCAGAAACAGTGGTTTTGGAGGAATCTGCGGTTTTAGAGACAGACTGCGTCTCACTGCGACTCTTTGAGACTTGGGCCCCTCGCTGTAGCTGTGCTGCCGTGTGAGGCTAACAGCTGCTTTAGCATTAGCATTACCACTCGGCGGGGGACCATTGCTGCTACTATTAGTGTTCATTCGGGCTAAAATCCCGGGCTGCGGCTGCTTCAAGCTGGGAGTTCTGTGCACAGTGGCCATCTTGACAAGCTGTCTAGGGGTGTGGCTCCGGGGCTCAGAGACAGGATTTCGTGGGTTGTAGTGATGGGTGCGGGTGGTGGTGGCTCTGTGGGGAGTGGAGGTGTTCGGGGGAGGGGTTATGTGGGTGGGCTGAGCCAAGCTGGATGTGGGCGAGGCGAGGTGGGTGGGGCGCTGCAGATGGGGGTGGTTGGGGTGTAGTGGAGGGTAAAGTCCTGATGACGTTGACGTGAGTACTTTGATCCCTCCTGTTCCCGAGGCGCTCACCTGCAACATAGCATCATTTAGGACCCAACTAAAGGACACACACTAGACAAGGTCAGGAACCTCTTTTGCTGAGAGAGCCAAAAGAGTCTCTGCCTTATACATTAATTTCTAAGGGAGCCATGCATGTGATTATGTATAATTTTTTTAAAACAAGATCAACAAATTTGTAGTGTATCATTGGGTTCAATCTGTGTTGTTTTGTTTAATACAATCTTTATACTGAAGAAATCCAATACATAAAACATTCTTACCCACTAAGACTTGTCTGAGAACTGGAAAAAAGAACCACATCTGGCTTTCGAGCTATAGGTTCCTGACCCCTGCTCTAGAGCAACCCTCTGATATGAAACCTTGTTAAGCTTCTCTCACCTCGTGTATGTGCCGCAGCAGCTCATCCAGTGCTGAAACGTCCACCTGAGGCAGCAACGTCTGTGACAGATGGTGATTTGCCCCGCCCCCCAGGTGTCCAGGCTCTGGATTTGCAGTTCTGAACTGCGTGGTCCCGACAGTGCTGTTACTCAGAACACTGTCGCTTTTGCATGCGGCAGACTGGAACACGCTCGAGTGTCCGACAAATGCCACAAAGCCTGGGGTGGAGGAGGTGGGGCTAGGAGAGGGGACGGGGCCTGAGAGGGAAGGGCATTCCTGGTTCCGGTCTCTTGGTCCTGGAGTGGACTCTGGAGTTGGAATTGTGGACTCAAACTCTCCATCAGACTGAGACGCTGCCTGAGGATGCACAAAGAGTTGACATCAGCAACACTAATATTAGCGACGCCAACATTAGCAACACTTATATTGGCAAAGTTGCCATTATCCCTCAGCCTGCTCATGGGAGTTCTGATGAGTAGAGACGTTCGGTCATATGTGCCATTAGAGCGTCTGTTGTTAGCATGTTAGTTTTAGTATGTTTGTGTTGCCCTGTTAGCATTGTGCATGTTAGCATGTGTCTGTAAGAATGTAAACATGTTTGTGTTAGCAAGTCTTCACCTTAGAAGGGCTAAACTCCGCTGCACCACCCTCAGCCTGATCCTGGGACTGCACCAGGTTCTGTTCCGAACGATTCACAAGAGAAGAGTAGAGTCTGGAGACGTCCAGGCGCTCCTAAGACCAAAATATCTGGTTTAGTGCTGGTTTAGACCTGCTTTAATCCTGGTTTAGTCCTGCATCAGTCCAAGTTTAGTCCTAGTTTAAATGTAGTTTAGATTTGGTTTAGTCCTGGTCCAGACCTTGCTTGGATGGTCCAGGAGGCCGTTGAGTTTGGCCAATGAGCGCAGAGAAAGGGCGTGAGGCAGTGATGCTTCCGGATCCTTGGCCAATGGCGTGGGTCGGTGGGCGGGCCCTTGGCAGAAGCAAGAAATGAGGAAACCGGACAAAATGGCGCCAAGAGAAAACGCCACAAAGACGAAGGTCACAAAAAGCGAGACATGAACATGGGACTGGGGCCCGACACCTGAGGAAAGAAAGGGTTAGTCTGGTCTAATCCACATGGGTCTGGTCCTGTCTGGTCCACTGGAGTCTGAGCTCGTTCACCCTGGTTGACATGGTTCTCGTTTGCATCAGTCTAGTCCACATGGGTCTGGTCTGGTTCAGTCTGGTTCAATCTGGTCAGGTTGCGTTCACATGGGTATGGTATGGATCAGTCCGGTCTTACCGTACGCAGAGTCTGCAGAGTCGTGGTTCCGTGTGGTTGCCATGACGTTGCCTGAAAACACAAACATACTTAAAAACATATGGTTTATGATCCATTCAAGTGTGATATAAAAATCAATAAGTCAGACATTTCATTTTGACATATGAAACATATTAGTTTCAAACAGCAAGAATAATAATAGTCCACTCACACACACCTGCTGGTCTATTTATCAATCAGGGGACTCACCGTGACATGGCTCTGTGTATTGAATAGGATCTCCATCCAGGTCCTGTTCAAAACCAGCTCTGAAAAACATCTGCATTAGAACTGGTCCAGACCTGCTTTAGTCCTGCTTTAGCACTGCTTTAGACATGCTCTAGTCATAATCTAGTCCTGCTATAGTCCTGCTTTAGGTCCTGCTTTTGTTGAGGTTTATTCTCAAGGGCTGAACCAGGGCTGAACCAGTGTTGAAATGGGACTGAGCCCGGCCTTACTTGAAACCTGGGCTGAAGTTCTCGCAGCGTCCGGTCCGGAGCCAGATACAGTATGGGTCCTGAGACGCCAAACACGACCTGGAGACAGTTGGGGACAGAGACAATTGGACACAGTTGGGAATAGAGACAAGTGGACACAATTGGGGATAGAGAAAGTTGGACACAGTTGGGAGCAGAGACAGTTAAACACTGTCCAACTATCGCATGCGTGGGTGGGAGCCAGCTGAAGGTTACATTGCTCCCTCCCTCCTTACCACTTTGCTTACGTTTTAGTCTACTTATTTCTATTTTTTCTGTAACTGCTGTTAAAATACAGCTGGGTGACGCTACTGCCCCTACAAGTTCCCTTTGTTTACACCCGGGACCAGCTGCAGAGAGTGGAGGTCCCTCCCGAAGACAAACGCACCATTCCTGCAGAAATCCTTCTGAAAACACCCAGAGGCTGCTGCAAGGGATGAACGGTACGAGGAAGAAAGAGATTGAGATTAAGGCGCTACCAGCGGAAGTACAGCGACAACAACATTCATGTACATATAGAAACATGGCTACATGGCTACATGGCTACACACAGACAGCGGTCGCTCTGGATGGATTCCACACCATCAGAGCAGATCTCACCACGGACAGTGGAAAGACGAGAGGCCAACGGTGTGCGGCCATACTATCTGCTGCGGGAATTTGGGCATGTTATTCTTATAGCCATCTACATCCCTCCACCTGCAAAAGCAGACAGTGCATGCAATGTTCTCCAGTGTCAGTGACTTGCAGACTTGCACTGGTGCACAGGCAACCCGTCGTGAGGTGCTTGATACAAACATGGAATACAAATACTGTAGAGGTCCTCCGAGATTGCATTGACAGGACCCTTGGGGATGAACTCTGCGACCCCTGTGGGCAGGACATTAATGGCATGACGGAGTGCATCCCGGAGAATGCAGCCAACAACAGGCCGTGGATAAATTCCGACATAAAGGCTCTGCTGAAGGCAAAGAAGCGCGCTTTTCGATCTGGGAACAAAGAGGAGCTGAGAGACATACAGAGACATCTGAGAACATCCGTGAGGGAGGCCAAAGCTTGATACAGGAGCAAAATGGAAAAGCTGTTTGGGACAATCTGAAGGCTATCTCAGGATTCAAACCAAATCCTGTTCAGCAGGTGGGGGACAGACAATGGGTTAACGACTTGAACACTCCATTACCTGCGGTTCAATCAACAACCCACCCGCCCCCTGCTCTCTGCTGCTGTTGGAGAACAATGCCCCCCCCGACACGGCCTGAGAGGACATGTTACCATGGCCTCTCAGTTCTCTCCCACCACCAGCTCGCAGCCCGAGCCTCCACCCCTAACCATGTCATTCACTGCTGCACAGGTCTGAATGAAACTGCTTAAAATCAAGCCCGTGAAGGCCTGCGGACCTGGCAACATCAGCTCCAGGCTCCTTCGCTCCTGCGCAGATGAACTCTGTGGTGTGATGGAGCACGTCTTCAACCTGAGCCTCAGGCTGAGGTTGGTACCACAGATCTGGAAGACCTCCTGTGTGGTACCAGTGCTCAAAACACCACGGGCCAAAGACCTCAGCGACTTCAGGCCGGTGGCTTTGACATCCCACTGCATGAAGACACAGGAGAGACTGGTCCTGGGACATCTCCACTCAGACCTCAAAAATGGACTCGCTGTATTTTGCCTTCCGACCGGGCATCGGAGGACGCTAATCTCTCTCATTCACTGCTCGTTGTACCACCTCGAGAAACCGGACTCTGCTGTGAGGATACTCTTCTTCAATTTCTCCAGTGCCTTCAACACCATCCAGCCGCTTCTCAGGGACAAGCTGGAGACAGCTGGAGTGGACAATGACTTGTATGTGTGGATCCTGGACTACCTCACAGACAGACCCCAGTTTGTGAGAACCTTGTTCTGACCTGCAGTGTGGGGACTCCCCCCAGGGGACAGTCCTCGTGCCGTTCTCTTCACCCTCTACACTGCAGACTTCAGATACAACACAGACAGTTGTGTCCTACAGAAGTTCTCCCATGACACAAGCACTGTCCTGGGCTGTTCCCTGGACACAGTGCAGCAGGTGGGGAACAGCAAGGTCCTGGAGAAACTAGCATCTATGCTGGACCATGACTGTCACCCCCTGTAGGACACGCTGTCTGCTCTGGAGAGCAGCTTCAGAGACAGACTTATTCACTTATGTGACAGACTTATTCACTAATTATAGACGGCTGGCTTGGCGATAGGCCGAGGGTGAGAGGGCTGGCCTGGATGGGCTGCAGCGGGTAGCTACCAAAGATTGAATTTCCTCGGGCTGCATTTCTGTGTTATTTTACATATCAAATGTGACATTTTAAAATACAAATGTAGCAAATAGCAATAGGTTGACATGACAATGTATGAGGTTTCAGTGTGAAGGAGAGTTTCCGCAGGTCTTTCCTTCCTGCTGCTGTCAGATTGTACAACAAACAATGAGGACTAATGTACACTGCCAACCTGATCTCACACATCATGCGTCGGTGCAATATCCTTAACTTATATCAGAATGTGCAATACAGAACCACATGTGTCACTTTAATGAGTCACTGACTGTGTCCCGGAGCCTCATGCTGCTAATGTACAGATGTAAACATACTGCTGCTAATGCACAGATGTAAACATACTGCTACTAATGTACAGATGTAAACATACTGCTACTAATGTACAGATGTAAACATACTGCTACTAATGTACAGATGTAAACATACTGCTGCTAATGTACAGATGTAAACATACTGCTGCTAATGCACAGATGTAAACATACTGCTGCTAATGTACAGATGTAAACATACTGCTGCTAATGCACAGATGTAAACATACTGCTGCTAATGTACAAATGTAAACATACTGCTGCTAATGCACAGATGTAAACATACTGCTGCTAATGTACAGATGCTAAAATATAACTACATATTGCTTGCACTAGAAAACTTTTATTTATATGTTTATTACAAAAACATGGCAAAGATGTACAACAACATCTTGCAAAACAATGCGGATCACAAAAACTGCAAATCCAGTTTGCAGAAAAGGGTAGAAACGTCATCTTGTCAAGAGAGAGAGAAGCCGCAGCATGTTCATGCGCCGCCATGGTAACAAGGTAAATATGTCATGACATTGACTTTGACGTCACTGACCAGAGACCAGAGCGCCTCACTGACAAAATACACAGTGCTTTATTCATTCTCCTTACTTTGCCAAATGTTTTTTTAACTTGTATTATTATTATTACGTTCAAGATAGAAATTATTTGATGCTAGAGTTAGAGATTGTTTTATTTTAATTAGTATAGCTACTGTTCACTCATCTTATCTCCTGTGTGCTCCTCATTCCTACTGTTCTATATCTTGTGATGCAACACTGGAATTTCCCCACTGTGGGACGAATAAAGGATCTCTTATCTTAATCGTAGGGACAGAGACAGTTGGACACAACTGGGGACAGACCTCTGGCAGAGTCGGTGCTTCTCACAGCGGCTCAACGAGACTCGGGTCACACACGACCTGAAGGCCACGAACAAACCACGAGTCTCCCTGTCCAGCTCCATAGACACGACTCGGCTGTCGCCATGAAGACCACACCTGAGACCACAAAAAGTTAGACCTGAGACCACACAGACACAAACACAGAAACATAGACACACACACACCGGAGGGGGTCGTAAACTGGGATATCCTCCAGCAGAACTGGGCTCAGGCTCTGGTTCTGGTTCTGGCTCTCGGTCTTCAGCAGGACTTTCAGGACTCTACCGTCTTCAGACCCAAGGAACAAGATCGTCTGGTCCCAGTGTGGACCGGCCGAGACATCTACTGCTACAGACACCAGCCGAGACCTGGACCAGAGGCTAAGGTTAGATCAGAGACCAGAAAGGGACCAGAGAGAGTGCTTGATAAGCGCTTTGTGACTCTGGTCTGTGAAAGGCACTATATAAATTAAGATTATTACTTACCTACTTAGAGAGACCAGAGAGAGACCACAGAGAGTCCGAGAGACCACAGAGAGAGACCAGAGAGAGACCAGAGAGAGAGACTGGAAAGAGACCACAGAGGGACCAGAGAGAGATCAGAGAGTGAGACCAGTTAGAGACCAGAGTCTAAATTCAGACAGACCTGTGGTTTGTCCGGGTGAACAGCGGTCTCCTCATCACAGACCACACGCTCTGGTCCATCAGGGGGAAGGCCTTACTGAAGACCAAGACCTGGTCTGGAAAATGGACTGAGGACCGATACTCCTCTGCGGGGGGGTCTCCAGCACAAGAGCCGGGTCTGTGGAGAGAAGAGGATGATCAAGACCAGAGACAGACCAGAGAGAGATATTGGAAACTAACTAGGATTTAACTGTTATATATTAAAATGTTATATCCAAGCAGAAATATAAACAGAAGTCAAAATAAAACATCTATGCTAAAAACTTATTGAAATGTTATTGAAAAATCACTTGTTTCATGGGAGAACAAAAACAGGAAGGGGAATGATCTCAAAACATATTGCAGGGGTAGTTTTGCCACCTGTTCCGTTTTTACTTGATTTTTTTCATGGTCTGTCCCGGGGAAAAAAAATATTCTCACAATGTAAAACCGTCTGATATTGCGTGGTAGGACAGTGGCACTTATCTATAATAATATCTCAGCAGACAGTATTTCAGACAGAGAAAAAATGGGTGGAGCGACGGAGGATTAAGATTTTACAGGAGCTGACAGTGAGAGGCTAGTAAATAAATTAAAACATTTCAAGATATTAATTGAAGAGCAGCACGGACTGATAACGTCAGCAAACAATGACACTAAATATAAATGGAAGAGTACTAGGTAAGATGAGAGTTAATAAGCACTGTCTTGATGAACTAAATTAAATCCAAATCATACTTAAAACTATGTGTGTCAAAAGAGTTAAAAAAAAAAAAAAAAATCATAAATCATAAATCATATTAATTTAAATATATATCGCTTTTAATTCACAGCTCACTACTGCTCCCAGGTGTCTACAACAGAAACGGTTGGAAATAAGCCTAAAATAATGAGACTAGACAAGTAAAGCAACTAAATTAATACAAAAATGCAAAAGAATAGTGTTAAAATACATTACTCGTGAGTAAACCTTGCTCAAATGTCTTCAATAGTCTTGTGCTTTGGGCTCAAAAGTGTCACTAGTCTTCCAGAAATCTTCAGTACATGTGATGGAGGCACAGGGCCAGTAGGGGGTGTGCTCTCAGCAGCAGTGTCCCAAGTGCATGTGATTGAGGAATGTATTTGAATGGCATCTGTTTACTTTATTCAAAATGATGCTAAAATATACTTTCCTCAACTAGAACCTTCAATTTAGAATTTGTTTTATTCTCAATATTCTCATGAAGTTTCCATGTTTGAAAATTCCTAGAATTTTGCAACCCTCCAAGTTGGGTCTCACTGTAGATTGGGACTGGGGTCCCATCATGGTTTGGGACTGGGGTCTAACCGGGTTATGGGACTGGGGTCTCACCGTGGTTTTGGGACTTGGGTCTCGGGGACGGCAGTCCAGGTGGAGTCTGTGTTCTTCTGTTCTTTAAATTTTCCGTTGAACACGTTCTCGATGTCGTCCATGAAGAAAGCACAGACTGCAGAGCCGGGGATACTACACACACACACACACACACAGGTCATATACACACACAGGTCATATACACACACAAACACAGGTCATATACACACACAAACACAGGTCATATACACACACACACACACACACAGGTCATATACACACACAAACACAGGTCATATACACACACACACAGGTCATATACACACACACACACACAGGTCATATACTCACACACACACACAGGTCATATATACACACACACACACACACACACACAGGTCATATACACACACACACACACACAGGTCATATACACACACAGGTCATATACAAACACAACACAGGTCATATACACACACACACACACACACACAGGTCATATACACACACACACACACATATAGGTCATATACACACACAAACGCACACACACAATCTGCTTCAGTTTGTATCAGAACTTCTAGAATATCCACAAATAATAATATCTTAAAGCAGTTTGTACTCAAAGTACTCAGGGTACTCAAAGTACTTAGGGTATGCGTAGTACTCACAGTACTCAGGGTATTTGTAGTACTCAGTGTACTCACAGTACTCAGGGTATTTGTAGTACTCAGTGTACTCACAGTACTCGTACCTGTTGGCCTGAGTGGTGAACACCCCGACCACAGCCGCTCTCCCCTGTATCTGCAGAACATTTGTGACGGACTGAAGAACGTCGAAGTAAAAGTACGAGTCTCCGGAGACAGAGCAGTTCAGCCGTGCCTGGAATATATGAGTAAAGTAAAGTCATGACAGAAACAAACAGAGTCAGCGTGGCGTCGGCACAGAAGTGCAGTTCTAGGTCTGTGCTACCGACAACAAAGCATTTAGGTGGTAACTGTGTTATAATTACACGGGTACCACCTAACTGTGTAATTATTCTGATTCTGATATTTCAGTAATGCGTTAGACTACATTAATGAAATTGTAATTTAGTTACAGTAACACACACTTGTTACAATATGCGATGATGCGTTAACTCATTAACTGCCATTGAGGTATTTGTCTCGACTGGGGATCACAGGAGCACAAAACTAGCCTGAAACCAAGTTGTTTTTGCTGATGAAAGTAGACAGTCCAGTCTTTCAGAATCTGGTTTCATTTTTCACATAGACATAGCACACAATATTCTGTGGGTCTTTAAAAATCAGTGAAATAATCAAAAACGGATGGCAGTCAATGCGTTAATATATGTTACACTATGCAAATGTATGTGTGAATATTCATGTACACAGTGTGTAAGAATGGACCATGTGCAGCATTGTACCTTTAAGAAGGAGGTCCAGTGTCGGTCCAGGACTCGAGGAGATCCTCCATCATCGTTTTTACAAACTCGACCGACGCGAGAGAAAACCACCTGCACATGAAGTACACATGAAGCAATCTTGAAGTACTATCATAAAAACTTGTGCAGTAGTATGAGTACCTTCCCCACAGCTGAGTATTCCACTGAAATCTCTCTGAAGAAAAAGTACACGTAGTTCCCAAAGTCGACAGCATGAAGAAAGTGCGGCTCTGAAAAAGACAAGAGATTCAAGACCAGGAGGGAGGAGACCAGGAAGGAAGGGACCAGGAGGGAAGGGACCAGGAGGGAAGGGACCAGAAGGGAAGGGACCAGAAGGGAAGGGACCAGGAGGGAGGGGACCAGGAGGGAAGGGACCAGGAGGGAGGGGACCAGGAGCTCGGACACAGGCTTTAGGAGTGGACCAGGAGGGAGGGAACCAGGAGGGACCGGACCAGGAGGGAGGGGACCAGGAGGAAAGGGACCAGCAAGGAGCAGACCAGGAGGGAGGAGACAAGAAGGGAGGGGACCAGGAGGAAGCAGTCCAGGAGGGCGGAGATAGGACACAGGCTGAAGGAGCTAGGCCTCACCGCGGAGCCACTTGGAGTCGTACTTCACCGTCCTCAGCACCGGACGCCCGTCGCCTAAACTCCTGTAGATCACAGCGTCTGACGCTAATGAGTCCGTCATGGTGCCGGAGTAAAAATCACCTCCTGGAAGAAGAGGAGTTAGCCACGCCCTCTTACATGGGCCACACCCATGACACAAGCCCCTCTCCCTCACGTACCAGTCCCAACCAGTTCCACTGGGTGAAAGATAATACAAATGACACTAGAGAACACTAGAACATGGACAGAAGCTGGGAACAGGACATTTTGGCCCTGATAAACTCTTGTACTGACCGGCAAAGATTCCCACGTTAGACTGTCCTGACTCAAAGGGACATCGGGCTTGTCCTACCACGTCCTCCCCGTCCTGCTGCAGAGACCCCATCTGAAATACAGAGGGGAATTTAACAGGTGTGTGTGTGTGTGTGTGTGTGTGTGTGTGTGAGTGTTGAGGCTGTAATACCTTATAGCTCCTGCAGGTGGGATTGAAGGCGTTGGTGCCGCATGTGAAAAGAGTGGAGTCATCTTTAGGAGCCAATACTTTGATGTAGTTATAACATTCATCCTGAAAAAGAAAAACGAGTTGGAGGCCCTTCCATAAAGGGAGAGAGAGACAGAGAGACCAGGTGTGTGTGTATATGTCCCCCTAAGACCGGGGGGGGGAGTGTCTGCATGTCCGCCATAAGACCAGGTGTGTGTGTATGACTGGGTCGACAGTAGCTCAGTTGGTAGAGCTTTGGACCAGAAGATCGTGGGTTCAAGCCCACCGTGAGACCTACTTCACGACTCCCACTGATGTCAGCTGTCATTGTGTCAAGGCTCCTGTGGACTCACCCCCTGCAGGAGGATCAGTGAGGGACTGGTGCCATGTGTACAGGGTGCAGCTCTGACTGACCCATGTGTTATCGGTACATCCCTAGATTATTTCTATAGTTTTGTTTTGGGGATGAATGAACTATAAAGTCAAAAAAATTATTTTGTGTTTGTATAACGCCCAGGGGAGGGGCTTGGGCTTTAAGAGCAGGACCGGGCTGGTCTGCTCAGGTTTCCTGATGCTTGGTTGCAGAGAAGGCAACACCTGAGATGCCCACCCATTGTAACCATTGCACAGGCCCACACATTAGACCAAGTGTGTGCCTGTGCATGGTGGTCCTCATGAGGCCTGTTGAGTGCATATAGGGCAGTTTCCACAGACTCGCCTCTACTCGGCTCAACTTGACTACGGTTAGCAGGTGTTTCCACCGGCTTGCTTTAGCTGCTACCCAGTACTTTTTTAGAAAAGGCTTGGCTCTGGTTTTTGCCTTGTTATGATTTTTGTAACAGCTGACGCACCAGCTGAAGAGTGATTGACAGCGGCTCTGAACAATGACGTTCGCCAAAGTCAGATTGTTTGGGTATCTACTCGGCCCGGCTAGAATCAGGGCCATGCCGTTACTAAAAAAGTACCAGATAGCGGCTAAATATAGCCAGTGGAAACGCCCGCAAACCGGGTAGAGTTGAGTCCAGCTCGTGGAAACGGCCCTCATGTCCCCGATTTCAAGGTTCTTTCACTGGTTTTTAAATGTCTTAAGGGTCTTTCAATTCTTTCAGAATTGCTTTTACTATACAAACCTTCCCGGCCCCTGTGCTCCTTTGGCAGCAAACTTCAAGTCATTTCAAAGGTCAGAACACACTTACGGTGAGGCATCTTACCAGCACCAGGTGAGAACAATGGGCCTCATTCACGAATAACTTCGTAAGAAACTACTCAACTTTCTTCTCAAGTTGTCCTTAAGTAGATTTCTAAGAAGTCCCCACGTGGGATTCATCAACGCACTCGTAAACCGCTGAATTGTTCGCAGCTGTTCTCTCAGATTGATGAATCCCATTTCCTCGTAAGTACAGCGCGCGTGCCAGGTGCTTCATTAGCATAGGTACTTAGCATAAGTAGCCGCCCACTAATGCCCATATAAGGGACTGCAGGGCCGTGTGCAGACGGCAGAGGAAACAGCAACAGGCCTAAAGCAACGAGTTACACTTCTTTTACCAGACTGAGAATAAAGTTATAAAATGTTGACTTAAAAGTCGAAATATTATGATAATAAAGTCGAACTAGCAAAATTATGAGATTAATCTAAGAATATGATGAGATTAATCTCAAAATGTTATGAGCTTAATTTAAAAATATATTATGTATTATTTTAAAGATGAATCTCAAAATGTTTTGAGATTAATCTCAAAATATTTTGGACCCTGGGAGGAGATCCAGCGCGGACCAGCGCTGAGACCAATGCAGACCCGAGGAGAGACTGGAGTGACCAGCACACAGAAACCAGCGCGGACCTATAGGAGAGACCGCATAGACTGGAGTGACCTGACTGGAGAGACCGGTGCGCAGAGACCAGCGCGGACCGAAGATAGACCGCATAGACCAGACTTGAGAGGAGCATGCAGCACGGACCCGTATGGAGAGAGACCAGTGCAGACCCGTATATGGGAGAGACCAGTGCAGACCAGTATAGATCCATGGGAGAGACCAGTGCAGACCCGTATATGGGAGAGACCAGTGCAGACCCGTATATGGGAGAGACCAGTGCAGACCCGTATAGATCCATAGGAGAGACCAGCGCAGAGACTCAGCGCGGACCCAGTAACCTCCTGCAGCAGCAGTATATATGCTGTTGTTCTGTGGCCCGTGGATAAAGAAATGCCCCCTATAAATAGGAAGGGGTCACTAATACACGGCAAGATTTCCAATGTATTTGATAAAGCGTTGGCACATTTCATTTCAAAATGAATTAAAAAGTAGGCCAGATCTGCAGTGAAAAAGGCGGTATATAAATAAAGATTACTAATAAAGATTACTACAAATAAATACTTACATACATCGATATGACGGACATATCACTGGAATGTTGTATTTTTATTCAACTTCACCAAAGAGGACAACCCCGGCGTGTGAACATGTTGGCACTGAATGCGTACGAGTGCTCCTGAGGACTCGTAGGATTTGTACTTGCCCAAGAGAAATTCTGGTTACGAGAAATATTCGTGAATGCCACTTTCTTCGTAAAAACCGCGTAAGTAGGATTTACGTACAAATCTGTTCCTAAGAACCGTTCGTGAATGAGGCCCATTGTTGTTTTTAAAAAGCTGACCACTTTTTTGTGGTCAGTTTTGGATTAGTAACTACTATTTTTTATTGCGTTTTATTTTTAATTTATTTATCTTTTAGGCACATTTAATTTGAATAGTTTTTGGAGTAATAATTGATATGTATTCTATAATAGTCCTTTTACTCTCATATTTCATTACTACTTTTTATTGTATTGTTTTAATATCCCCAGTGTTTTCTCTGGCTCTAGTAAGTAAGTAATCTTGATTTATATAGCACCAGAGTTTGAGCATTTGTCTCTTACTCCACACAGAGACGGGAGCAAGGTCGCCAAACTCTGTGTGCGTGTGCCTATGTGCGTGTGCCTATGTGCGTGTGTGTGTGTGCGTGTGTGTGTATGCGTGTGCCTGTGTGTGCCTGCGTGTTCTTACGCTGTTCTTCCCTCGTAGTGTGCACTTGGCCACGTCTGTAGATTTCCAGGTCACACTCTGAAGGAAAGATAAAAAACTGAGGTAAAGCTCTAGACTGAGGCCTTTGATGACTTTACAATTGCTTTAGGGAGATTCACTCTGGGACATAAGGGCTGCACTCTGGGACATAAGGGCTGCACTCTGGGACATAAGGGCTGCACTGCACTCTGGGACATTAGGGCTGCACTCTGGGACATTAGGGCTGCACTCTGGGACATAAGGGCTGCACTCTGGGACATAAGGGCTGCACTCTGGGACATTAGAGCTGCACTCTGGGACATAAGGGCTGCACTCTGGGACATAAGGGCTGCACTCTGGGACATAAGGGCTGCACTCTGGGACATAAGGGCTGCACTCTGGGACATAAGGGCTGCACTCTGGGACATAAGGGCTGCACTCTGGGACATAAGGGCTGCACTCTGGGACATAAGGGCTGCACTCTGGGACATTAGAGCTGCACTCTGGGACATAAGGGCTGCACTCTGGGACATTAGAGCTGCACTCTGAGCTGAACTCACCGTCTGAGGCACAAAGTTTTCTGCTGCTGTAGTCAGGTTCACAGCAAAAACATGATCTCTGAAAACAAAAGATCCACATATAGCAGCAGTAGTAGCAGTAAAAGCAGTAGAAGCAGCAAGTAATAGTAGGTAGTAGTAGTAGTAGTACTAGTAGTACTAGTAGTACTAGTAGTACTAGTAGTACTACTAGTACTAGTAGTAGTAGTAGTAGTACTAGTACCTGGCAGCAATATAAAGTGTGTGTTGGACTCGGATCATCCTCTGAAAGTCAAGACCGAGTCTCTGAGTGTCGTTGTCCAGAAGAGATCCACGAAAACACGGGAAGAGAGCGGCTTCTAAGAACAATCAATCAAATCTTTATTTGTAGACCACATTTAAAACAGCCTAGGCTTACAGCTGCACAGACAGAAAAAACGGCACAATAAAAACACAAAATACAGAAATATATATGCAAATAGAAAAAGATCAAACTTGTCTTTTTCTACCTGGTATTAAAAGCCAAAGAGGAAAAAGTGCATCTTAAGCAAGGATTTAAAGAGTTTGAGTGATTGTGCATATTTAATGGGCAACGGTAAACAGTTCCGCAGCCTAACATAAGAGATTCTATAGCACGGTCACAGTTCAGGAGAGACTCAGAGGTCCCAAAAGTAACTAAAAAAGTTTCCTTGCATCCATTCCTGATCTTCCTTTTTTGTACAAAGCTGCTGGTCTGAATGGGCAGACATATTGGAACATCATCAGCATAGAAGTGGTAAGAAATATCATGCTTCTCAAATATAGCTCCCAAGTATGGAGCCCCTCTGATGACATGGTCAAAAAAGACATTTAATCGTGGCCACAATATAGCTATAACGTGCATACAAAACACTAAATTTGTGGCCACAAAATATGTATAATGAAGAAAAAAAATAATAATTATGGCCACAATATAGCTACAACATGCACACAGACTACCAATTTGTGGCCACAAAATAGCTATAACGTGTGTACGAAATACTAATTACTGTAGGTAAGGGATAATGTATAGTACGCAGGTCATTATCGGAAAATAAGTATTGACATGTGGACAGGTTGGGCGAACTCCCATGAAGCCTCGAGTATCCGATGGAGAGTATAGAGATATCTCACGTGACGTCATGATGCCTCGAACTCGCGGGGCATCCGCCATACTGGAGGACAAGCAAACGCTGTATGATAGTGGCGTGCACCCGGGACCGCATAAACATGTTCAAAATTTTTGCCGTTTTTGGCTGCAGCAAAAGGAGAGACAGGGAAAATAAGTTGTGTTACCGACTGCCAGCCGTCCTTACTTCACACGGCTCAAAAACAGAAGACATCTCAAAGAAACGAGAGAGAAATGGCACAACCATACGCAACAACAAAAAACTAATAGCCACCAGAGCACCCAAATATGCTCGGATCATTTCATTTCTGCTAAGTAAAATCAATTTGATGGCGGATTTAGTGTTATTCCGAAACAAACAGAAGTTTAAGGATAAAACATATCTGTCTGCAACGTGGGGTTGCTCCATAGACTGTAGCTTAGCTTGTAGCATAGCTGTTATATATTTGGTCTCACACAGGACCTGACCCGGTTCACAGGGTATCTGACTTACCGAAGGCCAGCAGACATGTGAACGACTGAGCCGTGCTCAAGGGTGCCCCGTACTAGTATTTATTAATAAAATATACGGCTCCTCACAGTAGACGCAGAAAGCTCCATTGATTTGAATGTAATCTCATTATTTCCACTGCAGTGTAGCCACACATAGATCCATGGTGTAACAATAAACACATTAAATGTTAATCGGAGAATACATTATACATATACATTCTTAATACACGTGCACAGAGGTTTTCAGAATTTTCTGTTCACGTTTTCATGAAAAAAGACTGTTTTAATGCGACAATATGCGACCGCGGTAAACCTGGATGTAACGATAAACATTAATAATACATTTTAGGACGCATTTCCAGAGGATCTGATTCATGAATTTAGGTTGAGTATATATTTGGGTCACTAACTGCTGAAGTTTCAAATTCTCTGTTAAGTTTTCATGTAGTTCGAGAGAGTTCTAGTTTTGAACGTCCAGTTATAGATAGCTAGCAGGGCTGTTACTCGCCGAGGTTGTCCTCATGTATGGCTGCCGTGGCTGCTAGTCACGTGACCGTAGGATCCCTCTATAGAGCTGGTCCAGTTTTCCACGACCAGGACGAAAATCACACAGCTCTTCCTGAATCCTGGCTGGGAATGAGCTACAAAGACATTCTGAATAGCCTGGCATTGCAACAAACACAACACCAGTGTTTTGTGCTGCTTGTCGAGTTGTGCTGCCTCAGCTTTTTATGATGCATTGCAAACCTGCGCATGTGCGTTTCACAGCAGCCGAAGTAAACCAAGATGGCTGACATAAAGTCCGCCAATTTTATAAAGAGTTTAAATACAAACGAACAAAGACATGAATGTCACTTTTAATGCAATCTGAGGCAAAATGTTGATGGTTCCACTTTGTGACATGTGGGTTTTCATTAACAGCTTATAACTTAGATTTTGTTTATTATTTCCATTATCAACCCTTTATCTGTCGAGTTAGCCAGGAGACGCGTCATTGCCCTACGTCAGTAAAATGGCATATGCAGCATACCTATTTTATGGCCACACTTAAGTATTTTGTGTGCATGTTATAGCTATATTGTGGCCACAATAAAAAAAAATTTTTGACCATGTCATCAGAGGGACCCGAGAAAGGCATGCAAAGACAAAAAAAAAAAAACACACCAGAGACACACTAGAGACACGACACACCAGAGACACACCAGAGACACGACACACCAGAGACACGACACACCAGAGACACACCAGAGACACGACACACCAGAGACATAGCAGAGATACATCACACAGCTCTAGTCCTGTCCTAAAAGGGCTCTTATTCAGACTCACGCTCCCAGGAGACGATGCTTATTGGCTCCTGGTCCGGCGGGATCGATGACGTCACCGCGTTTGCCATGGAGATGCACAAGAAGCATAGCAGCGATGGCCAATCACAGCACACCATGGTGAGGGGGGCAGGGACGGGGAGTCTAGTGATGTCAGCAAAACATGGTCGAGCAAATCTGATGGGAAAGAGGTCATGTGACGTCACCATGGAAAAGATTCGCCCAGACAACATGTGACTTACGGGGACTGCGGCGCAAAGTCATGTGATAAAACAGGAAGTGGTGCGTGGGGGAAAACCCCCTCAGATCAGCTGGAACAGAGAAGGTACAGAACAAAGATTTAATTCACTCAAGAGGACATTGGTTTGGAAAGTGACATATTATACTTCAGCTACTACTAGCACTACTGCTACTACTACTACTGCTGCTGCTGCCTGTGTAAGTGCATGATCCTGTTTGACAGCTGTGAGTATGAAACACTGACCTTTAAGTGCTATTCCCATGCTTAAAGCTGGGGTACGTAACTTTTAGCCTGACTCTTGCCAGATCCTTGTAGTTTGCTGAGCTTCACACAAGGGTCTGGGATCTCTCAATAAAATATGTGTTTCAGAAGGCAGGGCCTTCAGAAATCCTTGTATGTGATTGGATAAACCACTTTTTCGCTATCTTGAATGACATGCTAATTTAACAACTCTCATCGGAGCACACGACTCAGCACACAACTCCTCACTGCGTAGTGTAAATTGACAGGAGTTGTTGACTACTTAAACCAAACTTTACACAACAATTTTACTCTTAAAACCCACATATCACAATATGGAACCATTAACATCTTCCCTCAAATTGCATGAAAAGTGACATCTGACAAAAGTGACATTTAAAAAACTCAGACTTTTGCTTTGCCTGCTGTGAGACGCGCATGCACAGGTCTGCATTACATCAAAAACAGCAGAGGTAGCGGATTTCGAGAAGGCGGTGCAAACCGACGATCCTGATTGGTTCATTATTTTTTGCTATCTTGAAAGAGTTTGCATTGCCTTGCAGGGAACTCAGCAAAACACCTCTGGCATGGCGGATTTACAAGGGTCTGGCGGAAGTCAGGCTATGTAACTTTAGTCTCATATATAACATGTAGTTTTACCAATAGAAAGAGCCCTGTGAGTTGCTATCTGACTCTTTGGGCTGAGAGCTCATTGGCCGACTGAGGATGGTCCTCTCTTTTTCGCTTTTCTGTCTGAAAAGGTGGATCTAAAGATGTGACAGAGACCAGAAACACATGATGTGACAACTAGTGATAGAAGCAATTGTTTTAGAGCCAGAAAGCAGTAGTAGAAGCAGCAGCAGCAGAAACAGTCAGTAATAGAGGTAGTTGTAGCAGTAGTAGTAGTAGTAGTAGCAGTAGTAGGAGTAGTAGCTGCAGTAGCAGTAGTAGTAGTAGTACCTGGCAGCAATATAAAGTGTGTGTTGGACTCGGATCATCCTCTGAAAGTCCAGACCGAGTCTCTGAGTGTCGTTGTCCAGAAGAGATCCACGAAAACACCGGAAGAGAGCGGCTTCTAAGAACAATCAATCAAATCTTTATTTGTAGACCACATTTAAAACAGCCTAGGCTTACAGCTGCACAGACAGAAAAACAACAGCACAATAAAAACACAAAATTACAGAAATATACAGTGTATTTGGCCCCCTTTAACCTTTCAACATTATGCCACATTTCAGGCTTCAAACATAAAGATATAAATACAATTTTTTTTGTCAAGAATCAACAACAAGTGGGACACAATCTTGAAGTGGAACGAAATTTATTGGATAATTTAAACTTTTTTAACAAATAAAAAACTGAAAAGTGGGGCGTGCAATATTATTCGGCCCCCTTGCGCTAATACTTTGTAGCGCCACCTTTTGCTGCCATTACAGCTGCAACTCGCTTGGGGTATGTCTCTATCAGTTTTGCACATCGAGAGACTAGAATTCTTGCCCATTCTTCCTTGCAAAACAGCTCGAGCTCAGTGAGGTTGGATGGAGAGCGTTTGTGAACAGCAGTCTTCAGCTCTTTCCACAGATTCTCGATTGGATTCAGGTCTGGACTTTGACTTGGCCATTCTAACACCTGGATACGTCTATTTGTGAACCATTCCATTGTAGATTTGGCTTTATGTTTTGGATCATTGTCCTGTTGGAAGATTAATCTCCGTCCCAGTCTCAGGTCTTTTGCAGACTCCAACAGGTTTTCTTCCAGAATGGTCCTGTATTTGGCTCCATCCATCTTCCCATCAATTTTAGCCATCTTCCCTGTCCCTGCTGAAGAAAAGCAGGCCCAAACCATGATGCTGCCACCACCATGTTTGACAGTGGGGATGGTGTGTTCAGGGTGATGAGCTGTGTTGCTTTTATGCCAAACATATCGTTTTGCATTGTGGCCAAAAAGTTTGATTTTGCTTTCATCTGACCAGAGCACCTTCTTCCACATGTTTGGTGTGTCTTTTTATGGATATCTTTGAGAAATGGCTTTGTTCTTGCCACTCTTCCATAAAGGCCAGATTTGTGCAGTGCACGACTGATTGTTGTCCTATGGACAGACTCTCCCAGCTCAGCTGTAGTTATCTGCAGTTCATCCAGAGTGATCATGGGCCTCTTGGCTGCATCTCTGATCAGTCTTCTCCTTGTTTGAGATGAAAGTTTGGAGGGACGGCCGGGTCTTGGTAGATTTGCAGTGGTCTGATACTCCTTCCATTTCAATATAATTGCTTGCACAGTGCTCCTTGAGATGTTTAAAGCTTGGGAAATTTTTTTGTATCCAAATCCGGCTTTAAACTTCTCCACAACAGTATCTCGGACCTGCCTGGTGTGTTCCTTTGTCTTCATGGTTCTCTCTGCGCTTTAAACAGAACCCTGAGACTATCAAAGAGCAGGTGCATTTATACGGAGACTTGATTACACACAGGTGCATTCTATTTATCATCATCAGTCATTTAGGACGACATTGGATCATTCAAAGATCCTCACTGAACTTCTGGAGTGAGTTTGCTGCACTGAAAGTAAAGGGGCCGAATAATATTGCACGCCCCACTTTTCAGTTTTTTATTTGTTAAAAGAGTTTAAATTATCCAATACATTTCGTTCCACTTCACGATTGTGTCACACTTGTTGTTGATCCATGAGTCATGACAAAAAATTAAAATTTGATATCTTTATGTATGAAGCCTGAAATGTGGCGAAATGTTGAAAGGTTCAAGGGGGCCACTGTATATACACATTGAAAATAATCAAACTTGTCTTTCTCTACCTGGTATTAAAAGCCAAAGAGGAATATCTGACTCTTCGGGCTGATTGACTGAGTGAGGATGGTCCTCTCTTTTTCGCGTTTCTGTCTGAAAAGGTTAATCTAAAGATGTGACAGAGACCAGAAACAAATTATGTGAAAACTAGTGATAGAAGCAATTGTTTTAGAGGCAGAAACTAGAGTAATGTGTTAATTACAGAGTAGTGTTTGTGTGGTCTGAAAGTAACAGACCTCAGCTTCAATGTACTAGGTTTGATGCACCTTTCATATTTGTGTGGATCGTGATTAATGTAAAATTTTGAAAATACTTCTACTTTAGTTTAACACATTTTTCATCACAGACATCACATGACCAACAGCGCCATTTTAAACATGTAATCCTGTAATCCTGACCTCTGCTCCAGCTAATACTACTGCTACTACTTCTACTACTGCTAGTACTACTGCTACTACTACTGCTACTACTAATACTACTACTTTCACTGCTACTTGTTACCTGCAGTAAGATAGAACAATCATAGCGCGACCCAAATAACAAAGTCTCCAAACACCTGAAACAGATCCATCAGAAGTGCAGAGTGAGCTGTGAAGAAGTTTCTATCTATATCAGTCCCACAAGGGACAATACTGCTCTCTGGTCTCGCTCTCTGGTCTCGCTCTCTGGTCTCGCTCTCTGGTCTCGCTCTCTGGTCTCGCTCTCTGGTCTCGCTCTCTGGTCTCGCTCTCTGGTCTCGCTCTCTGGTCTCGCTCTCTGGTCTCGCTCTCTGGTCTCGCTCTCTGGTCTCGCTCTCTGGTCTCGCTCTCTGGTCTCGCTCTCTGGTCTCGCTCTCTGGTCTCGCTCTAGTCTTGCGCCGTGACTTTAGAAGACTTTTTTTGAAAATGGGAAGTTTGTTTTCACCCTTTCATTCTGACAAGGTCCTGTCTTCCCAATGGTGAAAAGATGACACAGGTCCAAACAAAACGCTAACATTTCCCACTGTTGTCCTGAGTCGAGCGTCATTTCAACGCGGGTCTGGATCGAGGAAACTAATGTTGGTCTTCTTCATAAGTGCATTGTCCTCGGCTTTCTTTTTGGATCCACATGTGGGAAGGTGCTGTGGTTCTTCTGGCAGCCCCTCTGTTAGCTCCTCTCTCTTAGCATCAGTTGTATTGTGCTCCAGTGACCTCACATTCTGTATAAGGATTACTGCTGTAAATCCTGCAGGGTCCAGGCCAGTTTGGGGGTCGGGTCTCTCAAATGGTCCGAAGCCACACACCCTCCCCATGAGGCCCCACCCCCTTCGCCTGAGGCCCTGCCCCCCTGGATTAGGGATTACATTGTACCCAGCCTGCTTGTGTTTTTGTGTTCACTTTGTATCAGAAATCAAGTTTGTGTAGAAAAGATATGTTTACGAAGCATCAGCAGCTGAAGGTCTTGACCAGGTCTTGACCAGGTCTTCACCAGGTCTTGACCAGGTCTCAACGTTCTCAGACAGATGTCTTTGTTCTGTCCATATTTCAGAGAATAATGTTGAGGAAAACCAAAAAGAGAGACTATATAGAGACCAGAAGAGAGACACCAAAGGAAGACCAGAGAAGGCAACTAGAGAGAAACCAGAAAGAGACTAGAGAGAGCTCAGAGAGAGAGAGAATGGGGGGAGACCAGAGAAAGAGACCAAAGTGGGACCAAAGAGAGAGATACTAGAGAGAGACCAGAGAGAGACCAGAGAGAGACCAGAGAGAGTGGGTTTTATTATAGTTCTATTGGTGTGATCTGAATGTATTGTACCCCAGCTTTAAGTTCAGCTTCGTCAATGACGTTATTCTTAGCGTTAGCCTGCACTAGCATTATCGTTAGCGTTAGCTGGTCTCGCTCTGATCCGCTCAGTATAATCTTCATAATCTGCTTTGATCCACAACAGATCATATGTTCAACAGAAAGGGCATCAGGGGGAAACAGGACTGCTCCACCAGGGAGGACACCAGGAGAAACAGGACTGAGACCAAGGACCAAACCCAAGACCAGAGACCAGTTCTACGACTAGAGACCAGTTCTAAGACCTAAGACCAGAGACCAGACCTAAGACCAGAGACCAGACCTAAGACCAGAGACCAGACCTAGAACAGAGACCAGACCTAAAGGCTCCATGATTAATCTATATAAGCAGTATGAGGGGAACAGCTGGGCCGCATGTGCGGCCTCCAGGTCTGAACTAGACTAGCTCTGATCATAGATGCAGCCAAGAGGCCCATGGTTGCGCATCCACAGCTCATCTGGGAACTCTGCAAGGGACAAATATGAGTCGTGCACTTCACAGATCTGGCCTTTATCGACGACAACACCATCAGTGTGAGGGGAGGGAGCAGCATCATGCTGTGGACAGAGGTCTGGTACCTGGTCAAAGGTCTGGTCTCTGGTCTCAGATCTGTTTCTCCTGGATGTCTTCCCTGATGGAGCTATCATCAGTATCATCAGTGTGAGGGGGGCAGAATCATACCGTGGTCAGAGTCCCGATATAACTCTGTGAAACTACTGTGCACAAGAGCTCTCATCTTACATGACAGAGCTGTTGTTTTGTCAAGAGGAATGGACAAAACTGTCAGTCTCAATGCAGAGTGTGAAGATTCAAAGCAAGGGGATCCACAAACTGCCACCTCACGCTGACCCCTGGTCTTTGTTCATCAGTGTCACTCTGTTGTGTTAATAACATACAGGACACGCCCACTGGTCTAGGATGCACCAATCATACAGCAGACAGTTTATACAATTGTAAACCCTCCTCATTGCTATTAATACAAATAATGATAATAATAACAATAGTAATAATGATGATAAAGCATCAGTTTTACAAAGCCCTTCACTGGACTGAGTGCACTGCAGCCACAGCTGCCCCGGGGGCAGACTGACAGAAGCCAGCCAACTACTCTGTGCCATTAGCCTCTCCCACCTCCAATCATTCACTCACCAGACTCATACAAGTAGTTCAACCCTGACCCAGACCAGTTTCAGACCAGTTCGGTCCTGGTCCAGTTCTGTGTCTTTTCTGGACATGGTCCAGTCCTGGTCCAGACCATGATCCAGACCTGCTTCAGTCAAATGTCGGATGTAGATGTATGACAGGCGCATGCGCAGTAGCAGAAGAGATGCACTCACCTTTTCACAGGATATTTCCAAAAAAAGAAGCGCGGCTCAGAGCATTCATGCAGCGATGTGGCCCAAGCTCACAGACAAGGACTAGATCAGGACGAGACCAGGACCCAGAGATGGTTCCTCTGCAGCCGCGCACGGAGCCTCGAAGACGGAAAGCGCAGACACAAAGGCCGGGGGGGGAGGGGCGCCAGTTCTGAGCCTAAACACGCGCATGAGCCGCAGATCCCTCTGTGTCGTCACCACACCAGCCATAATCACAGAAAACGCTTGGTTCCACCTCCAGGCCTTTCTGAGTGGAGTTTGCATGTTCTGTGTGTACCATAGATCTGAGTGTAGTGTGTGAGTGAAGGTGATGGTTGCGTGTGCGTCTGTGTCTGCCTGGTCTGGATGTGCGTTTGTGTTGAGAGATGTTTTATTAGGTATGTATTATGACGATAGTAAAGTAATGTAGCACTTGAGGCTGTTACTGAATAGTGTTAGTCATAAGTAACATGTAACTAATTATCACAGTAACTTCTCCATATTTGTCTTGAACCTAACTGCCATGTCCGAGTTCATAAGAGCCAAAACGTCTAGCCTCAGCTTCTGTCCGTAGGGACGGGTCCTGGCTCAAAAAGGTTCATGAGCTTGTGCGCTGACATGCTTGCAATCTCACTCCGGGCCGGTGGGAGTGTACCCTGAAAGAGAATTACCAAATGCTTTTTTATGCCACCTTTTTTCCCTCGAAAACGGCTTTACAGGATGGTCCAAAAGTTGGCTCACGGCCCAACGCCATATTTCAAATGAGTGTCAATGCTGAGGGGAGTAGTTTTTCATTACATTTATTCATTTATTTACCATTTCCTGCCCCGCAGCCATTTTGAAAAAGCCCACAGAAGGCAAAAGTGGTGGCACTTGTCACTCCCGTATTCGTCCCGGAAACCGGATTCGTCCGGAAGTTCAGTTAGATCCAATAAGCATACGCAGCAGTAGATTACGTCACGGAATCTGGACGGAAGCGGAAGTAAATATAACAAACTACCTATTCATGCCTAAACTTAACCAGCCATTCCCATAAAATAACCCCAACCCACCCTTAACCCTAACCTTAACCATCTTAATCAGACGCCTAAACTTAACCAGTCACCATTTAAGGACTTATTACACTTTTTGACACTGAACTTCCGGACGAATCCGGTTTCCGGGACGAATACGGGAGTGACAGGCACATTAGTTTCAATGGCTGAGATAGGCGTGACTACGTCCATTAATATTTGCAGTCTATAGTGCGTGTTCAAGTTCTTCAGAACCAAAAATGAGTGAAAAAAGACTGGACTTGGCAACCCCCTGAGAGGAGAGAGGAGTCAGCCAATCAGCGTAAGGCAGAGCAGGGGACCAGGTTAAAGCTCCTGTGCGTAACTTTTTGCTCGTTTCCATGGAGATGCAGCTCACTTAGCTTAAAGCTAAAGGAAGTAACTTTGGTCACATAAAAAACACATGTTAAAGGTGAGGTACGTAACTTTAGTCTCATAAATAACACATTGTTTCGCCAACAGAAAGAGACCACAACAAGCTATTTTCATCTTTTTTTGGAAGAAAGACCACTGTAAGGCACTATATTATCTGAGAGCTGATTAGCTGAGTGAGGGTGGTCCTCTCTTTTTCACTTTTCTCTCTGAAAAATCTGACATAAAGTGAGAGAGCACAGACCATAAACTTGTGGCTTGGGTTCACAACTTACAGTGGGGCAAAAAAGTATTTAGTAAGCCACCAATTCTGCAAGTTCTCCGACTTAAAAAGATGAGGGAGGCCTGTAGGTTTCATCATAGGCATACCTCAACTATGAGAGACAGAATGTGAAAAAAAAAAAATCAAAAAAATCACTTCTTCAGAATTTATTTGCTGACTGATGATGGTGGAAAATATGTATTTGGTCAACAACAAAAATTCCTCTCAATACTTTGTTATATACCCTTTGTTGGCAATGACAGAGCTCAAATGTTTTCTGTAAGTCTTCACAGTGTTTTCACACACTCTTTCTGGTATTTTGGCCCATTCCTCTGTCAGGATTTAAGCAGACAGAGACGGATCGTGGTGTGCCAAACTCTGGAAGTTTATTTAAGTTTCTCTCAAGTTCCACTGGTTTACTCTGTTTCTTTCTCTCAGACAGAATAAAGGCAGTACACAGTTTATATAGTCATTGTCACGTCACACATCGAAAGACATACGTGTCACAAAGAGACAGTCACATCATAGTCATAACATGGAGTCCTTGTAGAGTCCTTGTACAGTCCTGCATTAGGCCATATTGCTATCTAATACTAACACCCTCCCCTTTGATCACATAATCACATGTGATCACTCAAATCGATCAATCAATAAAATGGAAAAAGAAAAAAAAAAAATTCCAAAAAAAAAACTTTAAAAAATTATGTATGCATTAAACTCATAATCATCAAATCAATATCAGTGGATTTTATCCTCTATCCTGGGAAAAAATAAACAAACAAACAAAAACAAATCAAAAAATAAAAACAAACACTATTGGACACACAAGAACTCAGCAGATTCAGTCAAAACACAGACAAAAACGTGCTGAGTCTCAAATTTGAAGCTAATTTCACTTTTATTACTTTATGCTTTTATTCTAATGATAATTGTTCTTCACTTCACTGTATTTTCACTTTTCAATCTTAGACTGTGTACTTTACTCTCTATTCACTATAGTTTAAACTATTCTAATCTATTTACAAATATGTTTGCATCTTTGCTTCTATTGAGCCATATTCTTAAACATACATTTTAATCTCTCTGTGGTATTATACTCTAATTATCAGTGGCTTATTGTTTGTGGGATTTTGTTCCATGTCTATTCTCATTCTCAGGAATAAAACTGAACACAGTAAGGCAAATGGTTAATATGAACATTATTATGGCGGTCAGTTTTCCAAATATTTGTTGAACCAGGAAGTGCTGTCACTTCCTCCTCTCAAGCAGTTTGGGATGAATGTACATCTTTAATCAAATTAGTATTATCCTTACAAGTGCTAATCTATTTTAGCAGGTTTGGGGTTGGGGTCAGTTATTCTACAATGGTGTTTGTGCTGGAAACTTCTCAATATCTAAATATCTACTATTGTGTTTTTGTGCTATACACAAATGCATCAAAATGCTTTTAAATGCTTTTGAATCTCTCTTGGTTCTAATCTATCTCATTGATCTAGGCATTAATCTAGGCTACACTCATATGAACTTTTGCAATGTCAACATTCACAGATGTTTGAACACAAGTGAATTTGACAAGTATCTAATAAAACTGTACATAAAACTGTAAGTAACTTTATCTACTTTTGAAGTAAATGCTTGTGAAATGGTCCCTTTACCATTTGATATTAGCACTGGCTACAAATAATCTCTATTTTGAAAGCATCTATGGTTGATGCATTTATCTATCTCTATTTTTACTCTATTTTTTAACTCCAAAGCTCGGCTGCAGCTTGAGCCAAGGCATATTTCTAGTTTGTGACTTCTGTCACTTTTAATGGCTGTAACATAACTCTGATTCTAATATTATATCTGCTCTATCAGAAGGATAACATTGTAGGGTACTATTTTAACTCTTATGTGGAAATGTGTTTATGAAAAACAAAGGAAGTCAAATTCTACTCTTTTACTACTATTTGACATCTACTAAAACGCTACAATACTCATACTTTATCATTTTAAAACATTTTAACTGTTGCTCAGTCTCCCAGACTAAAAAAGTCAAATTTTTTGTCTGTCAGATGTCGGAATACTTAACATGTATATTGCATTTGTCACAGGTTCTGGTTGTAGCAATAGCATCGGCAATAGACGATTTCATTGGCTGGTTCTTGTTCTGCAAATGTCTGTGTCCAATAGATCATCAGATGTCCAGAAGCTAGGGACAAACAAAAACAAAAGAAGAAATCATGAGTATCTCTCTCATTTAGCACTCATCAATGTATGATTTCAAAAATATAAACATCACTCCCCAGTTTTCTCTCTCTCAGGTCCTCAGGTCCTCAGGTCCTCAGGGTCCCCTGAGGGTGAGTCTCAGTCGTCATCAGGTCCGGTCATATAGAGATGTCATCTTGGTCATCAGTAGGGTCCAAGCCATGGTTCTGGTTTCTCCAGATGCACATCAGGATCTCCAGATACAGTCTTTTCACTTGAAGCACATCAGGTCATTTGCGATGCACTTCTGGTCAATGGTGCAGTGTCTCAGTTCCTGTACACAGCTTGTTATGCAGTAGTTACTCTCTATGGTTAAGTCACTTTGATTCTACTTTAAAGACAATTTCTATTCATGCTGTTGCTAATGTCCCTTAGACAAAAGCAAGCGCAGTTTACTTCTCTAATTTGTGTTTTTATCAGATCTAATCCTAATCAATGTAATTACTTCACACAGTACAAAATCAACAAATCAAAAGTGTCAGGACAGAGGTCAATTATGTCCATGACAATATAGAATTCAAATGAACATTTCTGGTCTCAAAAAATACTGATTCAAATAAAGATTCAAGTGATAGACAATTAAAAATATGTGTTTACATTGGAGTAAACTTTTAAAATGCTTTTTTCTCATGTTCTGCTTTTTCATGTATCTATATGTAAATGTGAATGTGTTAGTGTATGTGTGTGTATGTGTGTATGTCAATTTTTGGGTTGTTTCTCCAGACTCCTCGAACCACCTGTAGGTGTCAAAGGTCACACTGTGGTGATGTAAACCAACTGGACACACTCTCAACTCTCATTCAGGTCTTTCCCTGATGCTCCACCCATCACGTCTCCAGATACCTCTCTTTCATGGCCCCGGTCTCACTCCCACTTACTTCTGTAGTGGGGGGAGGGGCAAGGAGGTGGCATTTCCCTTTGCTCTTAGCTCTGTGACCTGTGGCTGGGTGGGCTTTGGTGTCCAGTGTCCAGCAGTCCAGTGACCCTGTACAGTGTGTGCTCTTGGTTCTGGAAAACAACCTTATAGTCAAATTAAAAACAACAGAGATTGTGAATGAGATTGTTTTTCTCTCTGAAGTCTAAACAATTTTGAAGCGCTCTGGGTTTTCCCAAGCGCTATGTAAATAAAAGATTACTTATTATCTTACTAATGATGACATTTGAAGACCAGAAACTCTTTCTTAATAAAAAACAAGACTCAAATCTCTTGAACCTTCAACCTTTAAAATATGTATTATGTACTTTTGCACTGTGTGATTAATTATCTATGCATTTATCTCAGCATATATTTTACTAATTTAAAATAATTGCAGCATTTTTCAAATGAAGTCAGTATGAATTGGAGCACATTTTAGACCAGTCTCCTCTGCTGTGGCATCAGCAGGAGCAACAAGGTCAGGCGTGTAGTCAAAACAAAAACAAAAGTCACCACTTGCAAGGTGAATTGGGTAGTTTAACTTAATAATATAATACTTTTACAGCCTAATTCCCTCTTTCTTTTTTAGACGAAGTCTATAATCAATAATCACTTTTAACAGATTCTAATTTAAATGTTTGAAAAACGGCTTTTGTAACTAAAATAAAAAATACATGAAAAAATTCTCACAAACAGCTATGAAATATATCAGAGATACAATAATGGACTCACAAAATAAGCAGCAGATTTAAAAAGAAAAGCAAAGCTTTTTGTACTAATCTTTGGGTTTCAAAAACATACTAATTCAAAACTTCTATTCCCTAATGGTGTTTAAAAACGTTTAACTGTGTCTAACACAATGTTCAAATGGCAAATTTAGCAAATTTAACGGAATAACTACTATGAAAAGCCAAATTCCTAAAGCAGTAGCTTTGCTTCAGATTCACAGCCAGAGCAGCGAAGGAGGGGGCCGTTTCCCTGACAACGGCAGCAGATAGAGCGACGCACACACACAGGCAAAAAGATACAGAAGAATAACTTTCAAGATTACTTTGTTAAGCGAATATAACTGATGTTGTTCTTTATACTTTTGTCATCCAAATCTAGAAGTGATCACTTTCCACACTAGTAACAAAAGGCACTCTTGTCTTTAACGTTTACGCTTCTATTTTATTGAGGTAGCAAACTAATTTAAACTCAAAATCTCTTTCTAAAAAACAAAAACAACTGTTGGATACAGCCTTCTCATAGCTTAACTGTAGATAAAACTCGCCAAAAAATGTAAATAACTCACGAAAGCTCTCATAGCTCAACTTTAGATAAAACTCTGCATTCTCCGGTGAACTCTGTTCACTCCAAAAAACAAAAACTCCCTTTTTCTGTATGTAATTTAAACCGTGATCACTGAAATATTGTTGCTTATGTACTTTTGTCATTTATCAGCTTGAAATTCGTCAATTTCCAAGCTTTTGTAACAAAGGCCTCTTTAACACATTTCCCTTTTTATAATAACTTTTAATTTTACACCATGGTTTCACTAACTATTTCCTATTCTCTATTCTCTGCCCCGGCTACTCCAAAGGCAGGGACCCCGATACGTCAGGGGTTCCTTTTTCTCTCTGCCCCGGCTACTCCAAAGGCAGGGACCCCGATACGTCAGGGGTTCCTTTCTCTCTGTCCTGACTACTTCAAAGGACAGGGACCCCGATACGTCAGGGGTTCCTTTCTCTCTGTCCTGACTACTTCAAAGGACAGGGACCCCGATACGTCAGGGGTTCCTTTCTCTCTCTAATCTTATCTATAGATATTAGACATTTGGTGGACCTCAAAAAAGGACCATAATTTAGTTCACTCAATTAGCAGACTTTGAATAAACAGGTGTCCGCTCTTACCTTTTGTTGAACAGGGCCCAGGCACAGTCAGAAGTCCACCAAATATCAGCTTTTCCACGTCCAACCGGGTCTCCAGATCATGAACCAGCGCTCACTAGTACCGGGAACTAGTTTCCATCGGCAGAGACCAATCGCACGTAAAAAATCCCCGGAATGCGGACATGGGAAAACAATTTTAAACGCTCAGTCCAAAAAACAGGACACAAAAAAATATAGTGAGACAGCGAAAAAGAGTCCCGGAGCCGGTCGCCTCTCCAGCCTGCTGGACCGCTCCCAGGCCCCAGACACTCTCAGCTCTCCCACGCCGAGAAAAAGAAACAAAGCAAACTCCCTCAAAACAATCCAGAGAATGGCACAAACCGAGCCGCGCATTCTCCACCAAATCTGTTAGGATTTAGCAGACAGAGACGGATCGTGGTGTGCCAAACTCTGGAAGTTTATTTAAGTTTCTCTCAAGTTCCACTGGTTTACTCTGTTTCTTTCTCTCAGACAGAATAAAGGCAGTACACAGTTTATATAGTCATTGTCACGTCACACATCGAAAGACATACGTGTCACAAAGAGACAGTCACATCATAGTCATAACATGGAGTCCTTGTACAGTCCTGCATTAGGCCATATTGCTATCTAATACTAACACCTCCATGCGGGTCTCCACTAGAGCAGTGATGTTTTGGGGCTGTCGCTGGGCAACTCCCTCAGAAGATTTTCTATAGTTTTGAGATATGGAGATTGGCTTGGCCACTCAAGGACCCTGAAATGCTTCTTACAAAGTCACCGCCCAGGCGGTGTGTTTGAGATCATTGTCATGCTGAAAGACCCAGCCACGTTTCATCTTCAATGCCCTTGCTGATGGAAGGAGGTTTTCATTCAAAATATCAAGATACATGGCTCCATTCACTCTTCATTCTTCATCCATTCAGTCCCTTTGCAGAAAAAAAGCCCCAAAGCATGATGTTTCCACCCCCATGCTTCACAGTAGGTAAGGTGTTAATTTGGATGCAACTCTCCTTCAAACATGATGAGTTGAGTTTTTACCAAAAAGTTCTATTTTGGTTTAATCTGACCATATGACATTCTCCAAATTCTCTTCTAGATCATTCGAATGCTCTCTAGCAAACGTCAGACGGGCCTGGACATGTACTGGCTTAAGCAGAGGGACTATGATGAAAATTACAGGCCTCCCTCATCTTTTTAAGTGGGAGAACTTGCACCACTGGTGGCTGACTACATACTTTTTTCCCACTGTATTGGACAGAGTATCTGTTCATTAAATAATTTTGTTAATTTTGAGGAAAAAACATAATTACTGTATTGAACCAGGTCTAAAGGACAGTGGGGGGTCTATGGGGGGTTCGGAGTCTTTAATCACTGCCTCTGATCCGGTTACGGAGGATTTACAGAATCAGGTCACGACTCAAAACTGACAAAAGACATTTAAGCCAAATGTGTTAGTGAGACCAGAGAGTGAGACCAGAGAGACCGAAGAGTGTCACCAGTGAGTGAGACTAGAGAGAGAGACAAGACAGACCAGAGAGAGATAGAGAGAGACTAGAGAGAAAGAGGGACCAGAGACAAGACAGACCAGAGAGCAAGGGCCTATGTATAGTGCCTATTGACCCAGGAGTCCTTTGAGGACGGGGGCTTTGCTAAGGTTTGGGCCCACCCCCCACCTGGAGACGGTTGCTATGGCAGCAGGAGTGGTGACCTCTGTGTGTCCTTCTGTTGTGATTATACTGTCACCGTGGCAACACTGCAGTGTAAACAAGCATGGAAACTCTGGGTAGAGCTAACACCCACAGGCTCCATGAGGATTAGAACTAGGGTTGCAAAATTCCAAGAATTTTCTAAAATTGCGGCTTTTTATGGGAATTTCTAGGAATATATAAGAATAAACTAGACTTTTTCTTCATAGGGAACTTAGTTGTATATTTTAGCATAATCTTGAATAAAAGAAACGGATGCCATTAAAATACACTTGAATATCCATGTTAACTCCTCAATCACATGCACATAACACACTGCTGCTACGAACCACGCCCCCTACTGGCCCTGTGCCTCCATCACATGTACAGAAGATTTCTGGAACATCGAACCATACTTTTGTGCCCAGTATACAGGAGAAATATATTGATTAGAATTGTATATATGACAAACATATACATGCTGATAAGTTAGACGCAAATTAAACCAGCATATGTAATATATTTTTGTTATGCAACCTCATGTGGCTGTTTTTCCTCCCCCTGCTATGTTTCAAATATTAATCCACTTCCTGTTTTTGTTCTTCCATGAAACAAGTGATTGTTCAATAAAAACGTTTCTTTTCATGGATGTTTTCTTGTTTATATTTCTGCTTGGATATGATAACATTTGAATACATTACAAATATTTCTCACACTTATGCAACTCTGAATAGAGCTAACTCACACAGGCTCCATGAGGATTATAGCTGACTCACAGACTCCTTATGGCTGCAGCTCAAACTCAAGAGAAAAACAGAAGACAAACTTTAGTTGTTTATAGTTTCAGTTCAACTTTAAAAACGTGATAAAACGTATTCACATGATCATACAGGTCTCTATGGAAAAGTCCGGGTCAGATTCTTGGAGCAGCGAGTCCACTCATTCCTTTTCTTACGGGATGATCACCATAACTCAACAAAGACAGGTCATGTCCTCGCTGTCCCCTTGAGGCCATGGACACTCAGCATGTGTCTCCTCAGGTTAGACTTGTCGCTGTAGCTCTTGCCGCAGTGCTCGCAGCTGAAGCTCTCTCCTGCGTGGATCTTGCGGTGGTTGTTGAGGCTGTCTTTCCGGTTAAACGTCTTCCCGCAGACGCCGCAGACAAACGGTCGCTCGCCGGTGTGAACACGGAGGTGCGTCTCCAGGTTAAAGCTCGACTGGAATCGGAGACAGCACAGGGGACACTCATGGACACGTCGCTGAGGAGGCCTGCGCCCCCTACTCGTCACAGGGGCCTGTGTGCACTCAGCCACGCCCCCTGCAGGAAGTCTGCAGTCAGTCACGCCCATTGGAGGAGGTCCACAGTCAGCCACGCCCCCTGGAGGAAGTTCGCAGTCATCCACACCTCCTGTAAGCCCCTCGGTGTCGTCTGACTCTTCTGCAAAACCAGAACAGAAGAGAGTTTAGTTCTGTCACTTCCACAGAGCTGCAGGAGTATACTACACTCCCCCTCGTAAATGTGGTGTCCGCTTTGGTCTCGTCACATAACAAACGAAATAATATTAATAATAATTTAAAAACATGACTTTTGAAGATACAAAACATAATAATAATACATTAAAATCTGGAGGTAAGTCACCTGTCCAGGCCTGCAGGGACAGCTCCTCCTGCTGGTCAAACTGAGGAAGTGCAGAGCTCACTTCTGCATCTGAAACAAAAGATGGGAACTGACTTTCACATATAGATATTTTTTGGTCACATACAATGTTAACAACATGGCCAATAACATCTAGTGAAATGACTAGTAACGAACATATCACTTTTTAGTTTGATTTTTTGTCAAATAAATACGAGACCACACACAGAGAGAATGAGAAACAAACACACACACCTGACAGCTGCTCCTCCTTCTTCACCGCTTCACAGATCTGACTCGTGACCTCCTCTGGCTCCTCCTCCTGTTTGAGTAGTGTGCTCTCTGCTGCCCCCAGAGGACAGTCTGAAACACAGCAGGGTTCAGAGTTAGGCCCAGTCCCAATACCCACACTTCCACCCTCGCGCCCCTCATTTGCGCGTTCCCGATAAAGGGTGTGAGTGCGTAGGGTGTCCCAATTCTCCAGGGAGGTTTTTGGCCCCGCCCCCTTTGCGCCCCTGATCCACACTTTGCCGTAGCCTGCATCTATGCGCACTCTGGCGAAGGATATTGCCCATAATTCTTTGCGGTACACACCAAAACGTCGGGAAAATGCATTTAAATATAAATTCTGAAATATATATGCAGTACGTGTGTAAATAAGTTTTGCTATGTTACTTGGAAAGAAGCATAAACGTCTGATGAAGAATTACGGACATTGTGTTTTAACAATTTAATAACTTTTTAAAGCAAGAGTTCATATAACATTCAATTTAAACTTTACACTTAGTACAATAATCTTAGAATGTATAAAAACTGACCAGATAGTTAGTTACCCACATTTAACTTAAAATTATACAGCTATCTCTAATTAAAAACCACTAATATACATGTATTTTAACGTGTGTGAAGCAATTCATTTTGTTTCCCAAAGGGTCAGACAAAGTTTAGGTCTGAAAATGACCATCTCTTGACGAGTCGATGACGTAACCTGCACTCAGTGTGCACTGTCCCAATTCCACCTTTTGTGCACGCTTGCAACCTGCGCACTCAAACCCTTGCGCGCACTTCAAACAAATGCACACTTCATAGGAGGGCGTAGGGTGCAGTGTGGGTATTGGGACTGGGCCTGAGTCTTCTGCAGCCTCCTCAGACTCATGTGTGATGTCACATTCAGAATATACACTTTTGATTCATGGACTTGTCTTACTTTGGGGGAAAAAAACACAAGATGAATAAGAAACAACTTCTGCAAGTACACACAGATCTACCACATACTGTATGTTACTGTATTTATACATTCCAGTGTTTATCATGTTCAACTCATTTTATTTGTGTATTGCCCTAAATCCAAAACCGCAGTAGTCTCTGTGGAATTTACAAAGTTGTGGATTTGAATCAGAGATCCGGGACTCGGGCTGTAGGGTGTAGAGTAGTAGTAGCAGCAGCATTACCTGGTGCAGCATCACCTGGTGCAGCTTGCAGCACCCTCTGTCTCCTCTCGTACTCCCTCATCAGGAGCTCCTCATAGTCCCTGATGCTTTTCTCCAACAGTTCACACACTTCCTCCACTGCCACAAAAAGACGCTGTTTCACCGCCTCACGCAGCTGCAGTGCAAAGCGGCACATGGTCAACCTGGAGGAGGAACACAACAATGTTTAAGACTGAGATGTGTAACTTTAGCCTCATATATAACACATGTTTAAAGCTAGAGTATGTAACTTTAGTCTCAAGAGTAGTTTGAACAGAAAGGTTCTTAAAAATGCTGTGAAGACCACCACATGCTGTCTTCAACTCATTAGAAAACATGTTATCTTTTGTGAAAGAGTCACAATTTGACTCTTTCAGCTCAGAGCTGATTGGCTCATTGAGGATGGTCCTCTTTTCACTTGAAAAAGCTTATCTAAAAGATGTGACAGGAGCCAAATATATATATGATGTGGAAACTAGAGCCAGAACTAGAGACATGAGTTTATTTCAGAGATCTGTGCCAGAGGCTCACATCGCTGCTTTTAACAGGCTACATCCACGTAAACAACACAAACATATAACAGCTAGCTAACCAAGTAATTCCCATCCTCTGAGACATACCTAGTCATATTAACTCACCGAACTGTTAATTCTAGTGTAGTCTTAAGACCTGTTCCAGATCCGGTTTAGACCCCGTGTAGTCCTAGTTCAGTCCTGGTCCAGACCAGGTGTAGTCCTTGTTACGTCGTGGGTCTCCGGGAGGCTCAGGGTCCCGTCCTCCTTCAGTCCGAGGTCCTCCTTCAGTCTGGTTCCTGAGGCAGAGTTTGTGTAAAATCCACGCTCGTTTGTTTTTGTTTCCGCATTCAGAGAGGACCGGAAGTAACGCAGTGACAGCGCCATTTTGCATGTCGTACTTCTGCCCCCTGCTGGAGGAGAGGGGGAGATCAACACTACTTTTACCACATTTGGACCATTACTAAGGGTAAGTATACATAAAACATATGGATAAACCTGTATAAAGAATGAAACAGATCTCAGATTGTATTTGCCACTTCTACGACAAGAGCGAGGTTACATTTCCCTTTTTATTTCAGTGTCATGTGACTGGAGAACGCATCAATTCTGAAGATTCATCAGTGTAACAAGTTTGAAAACAGAGCATTTGTACAGAAGAGCAGGTGTGAACAATGGTAACAGAGAAAAAGAGACAGTTTTCTCGTATTTATTATAAATTATTAAAGTTTTGACTTTATTTCATGTGAAATATACAGAGACTTCTTCAGAGCCATATAAGGGAATAAGGCGCAGCCATGGTTAAAATGTTCATAACTGCATAGGCTCTTCTGGAAACATAAGATGGCCGCCCCAGTCACACGCTCCGCTTTCTTTATGTGGTCAACACGGTGACAGGCCCCATCATCTTCATATGGTCGTCATGATGACAGGCCCCGCCTCCGTCAAGTTACAAAAGGACACAGTCCGAGTCTTTGTCCCTTCTTCGGGTGGACTGGGTCTGAGACCGGGCCTGAAACAGAGACCCGAGCTGAGAACAAGTACAGTGTTGCAGAAGTATTCTTACCCAACAGAACTTTTTGGTGGAAGAGAGTGATATATTTTTTACGATCAGTTTTTTTTCCGTTTTTTTACAAACATTTCCGAAGCTTTGAACATCTCACAGAGCTCTGTTCAATCCATTATTCAGGAATGGATAGAGGATGGACCACAGCAAACTTACCAAGACACAGCCGTCCACCTAAACTAAAACCATCACTTTAATTTCACATTGTTCTGTCACGACTCCAACACACCGCAAGCATGCATACACACCGGCAGAGCACGCTGAGGCACAGCTACTGCTGCTACTGGCTACTAGTAGTAGTAATAGCAGTGATATTATTGGCTGTATTAGTAGCAGTATTAGTAATAGAAGTTGCAGCAGTAGCAGTTGTATCAGCGGTCGAATTAGTACCATTACCTGTGCAGGAGCTGTAGTACTCGCAGTACTTGCAGTACTTGTAGTATTTGCAGTATTTGCAGTACTCTGGTACTCCTCTTGTTGCAGTTGTCTTGCCAGTTCTGCGTCGCTCAGAGAAACTGGGTCTCCCTCCTGCTGCTGCAGGGACACGGCCACCAAGAAGTCCTGATGAGGACATTTATTTTTATAGTCCATACAGACCAGACCCGGTCTCTCATCTAAGTCGGCAGACTGGTTACTGACCGCGCCTGGTTTCTCACCTGGTCTGTAGACTGGTTATAGACCGGGTCTGGTCTTTTCAGCCTAAAGTCTGCGTCACAGAAGTTCCCATCTCCCTCCACGTTGTGCAGAGACTCCCAGACCACGGACTCCGACAGGAACTGGTCTGTGACCAGCAGGTACAGGTGACCCTGGAAGACATAGGAGACTAGGTTAGGAACAGCTGGAGACCAGGTTTAGAACAGGTTTGGACCGGGTTTAGACCGGGTTCAGACCGGGTTCAGACCGGGTTCCGACCAGGTTTAAGCTGTGGTTATATGTAGATTTCTTACGCTGCGTTAACTACGTGCCATAACAGGTGCAGATTTGTTGCTAGAATGGGCGCTAAGGTAGCCTGGCCTTAGCCATTCGTACACTCTGCTCAATCATCATTTCACTGCATGTAACGTCTGGGTCTGGTCCCCGTGTTTGCGATTACAATCGGTTGATTTGCATCCAACCAATCAGCGAGCACGGGAGACTGTTGTTGTAGTTTAGTTGTGGTGACGTCAAGAGTTTGCGCCGAACGGGCAGGTTGTAGTTTGGCAATGGTGAAGAATGCGATAAAGTAATCCGGTCTGGTTCTATCAAGAAATTGAAGCCGGAGCAAGAGGAATGTTTAGCAAATGTAATCGCTGGCAAAGATTGCGGTGCTACTCCCCACGGACTCCGTTAGCGGCAAAGGAGATGGCTAGGCTAAGTGCTAAATGCTAACGACTCACTTGGGCACATCACATATGTCACGGTAAACTCAGATCCAATCGTTTCAATCTGCAAAAGGAGTTAACCCCTCCCACCTGTTAACAGAGCTCAATGGAGCACCTCCAGACCTTAGTACGAAATCAAAGCAAAGTTTCCCATCCATCATCTGTACTTCTCAGCAGGTTGTCCCGACAAATTTTCCCCATAAATGAAGGTTCTGATTGGTCAATCCTTATATGGTTCATATCTGGATTTACAAAGATTACACAACACCAGGATAACAGAGCGCTAAACCACAGATTCAAGCCCAAAGTGGAATAGGAGCAAAGCTATGAGCTAGGCCAGTGGCTCCCAAAGTGGAACCACTGGCCCCCCTGCGGGACAAATTGATGAACGAAAATAAAGTTAGCACTGCTAGCATAAGATGGACACATTTTTGACGCATTACAATCAAGCAGTGAGTCAAAATTAATTAAAACTCCCTGCCACTAGTTGGAAGACATGTCAGACTACCACCCTGGCCCAAAAAAACGTCATGCTCCCGGACAAAATATTTGAGCAAGACCGTGATGACTCAGTGGAAATCTTAGCGAAGCGAGCGCAGGTGCGAGGCAGCCTGCGAGTGTTGTACATGGATCTATAATAATAACTGGATAGGGTATTACTAGCTTATAGCTGTCCCACCTATGGGCACAGGGGGCGCTCGTGGTACTGCAGACTAAATTCACGTGGGCTAACCAGAAGAATGTCCCATAGACCTCAATGTAAACTAAAACACCCCATAATGACAACATGAAAAACGTTTTTTTAGATTCTTGCAAATGTATTAAAAATTTTAAACAAACTAAGAAACCACATGTACATAAGTATTCACAGCCTTTGCTTAATACTTTGTTGATGCCCCCTTGTCAGCAATTACAGCCTCAAGTCTTTTTGAATATGATGCCAAAAGCTTGGCACACCTGGCTTTGGGCAGTTTTGCTGTTTTCCTTTGCGCTCCGGCTCCGGTCTAATGCTGCTCAGATCAGCAGCTCTGATTGGTCAGAGCGCGAGCCCCTCTATGCACGTGCATGAGAGCCACACACGCGTATTTGGCGCAACGCATCGTGGGAGCTCGTCCACTGCGCAGAACCGGGAGGACCAGACAATTTACTATTACCCTGAGCATTTAGCATGTTACAGTGAGTGCTCAGAGTGCCCTCACACTGAGAAATTCCATATGACTTCATAATATGCAAGTTACATGGGTATTTTTCTAATTTACAGAAAGTCTTTATCTCTTATTACTTTTAAGTTATAGCCTTTTGAAATTAAGATATCAAAATCGACCGTCATAGAAAAAAACCTGGCACTTACACTGTATGAAATAAAGTGCAATGGACTCTGTAAACAAAATGTGGTCTGTATGTTCTTTTTTGGAGGTCCCCGCTCATTCTAAACCATAGACTGGTTAGAATGAGCGGATTGTCCAACCTATCTGACAACAGTTGTAAATTGGGAGTTGTGACCAAATACTACTCTTTGGTCCAGTCCTGGTCCAGACCTGGGTCTTGACCATGGTGCTGAAGTGGTTGTTTCTGAAGAGGACACAGATCTCTCCCTCTGTGACTTTGGAGGTGAGTTCACACAGACCATGATATGAGAGCTGAGAGGCTGTAGAGTCCAGGAACTGCTCTGCTGCCAGACCTGCAACCGATATAAGTGCGTTTTAGGACACGACTGAAGCAGATAGAAGAGTGTTTAGATAAGATAAGATAGACTTTATTGATCTCATACAGGAGAAATTTACTTGTCACATCTGGCAAGGATAAAATCACTCAAGATTGTGCAAAATAAAGAAATGTGCAAACATGTTAAATGCAGGATTTACAGTGCATCCGGAAAGTATTCACAGCACTTCACTTTATCCGCATTTTGTTATGTTACAGCCTTATTCCAAAATGGATTCAATTCATGTTTTTCCTCACAATTCTACATACAACACCCCATAATGAAAACATGAAAAACGTTTTTTTTTTTTTGATTCTTGCAAATTTATTAAATTTTTTAAACAAACTAAGAAACCACATGTACATAAGTATTCACAGCCTTTGCTTGATACTTTGTTGATGCCCCCTTTGGCAGCAATTACAGTCTCAAGTCTTTTTGAATATGATGCCACAAGCTTGGCAAACCTGTCTTTGGGCAGTTTTGCCCATTCCTCTTTGCAGCACCTCTCTAGCTCCATCAAGTTGGATGGGGAGTGTCGGTGCACAGCCATTTTCAGATCTCTCCAGAGATGTTCAATTGGATTAAAGTCTGGGCTCTGGCTAGGCCACTCAAGGACATTCACAGAGTTGTCCTGAAGCCACTTCTTTGTTATCTTGGCTGTGTGCTTAGGGTCGTTGTCCTGCTGAAAGATGAACCGTTGCCCCAGTCTGAGGTCAAGAGCGCTCTGAAGCATGTTTTCATCCAGGATGTCTCTGTACATTGCTGCATTCATCTTTCCCTCCATCTTGATTGGTCTCCCAGTTCCTGCGGCTGAAAAAAATCCCCACAGCATGATGCTACTACCACCATGCTTCACTGTAGGGATGGTATTGGCTTGGTGATGAGCAGAGCCTGGTTTCCTCCAAACATGACGCCTGGCATTCACGCCAAAGAGTTCAATCTTTGTCTCATCAGACCAGAGAATTTTTTTACTCATGGTCTAAGAGTCCTTCAGGTGCCTTTTGGCAAACTCCAGGCCGGGCTGCCATGTGCCTTTTACTAAGGAGCGGCTTCTGTCTGGCCACTCTACCATACAGGCCTGATTTGTGGATTGCTGCAGAGATGGTTGTCCTTCTGGAAGGTTCTCCTCTCTCTACAGAGGAACGCTGGAGCTCTGACAAAGTGACCATCGGGTTCTTAAGTCACCTCCCTGACTAAGGCCCCTCTTCCCCGATCGCTCAGTTTAGATGGCCGGCCAGCTCTAGGAAGAGTCCGGGTGGTTCCAAACTTCTTCGATTTACGGATGATGGAGGCCACTGTGCTCATTGGAACCTTCAAAGCAGCAGAATTTTTTTCTGTACCCTTCCCCAGACTTGTGCCTCGAGACAATCCTGTTTCGGAGGTCTACAGACAATTCCTCTGACTTGCACTGTCAACTGTGGGACCTTATATAGTATACAGGTGTGTGCCTTTCCAAATCAAGTCAAATCAACTGAATTTACCACAGGTGGACTCCAATGAAGCCGTAGAAACATCTCAAGGATGATCCGTGGAAACAGGATGCACCTGAGCTCAATTTTGAGCTTCATGTGAATACTTATATACATGTGGTTTCTTAGTTTTTTTTATTTTTAATAAATTTGCAAGAATCTCAAAAAACCTTTTTTCATGTCGTCATTATGGGGTGTTGTGTGTAGAAGTGTGAGGAAAAAATTAATTGAATCCATTTTGGAATAAAGCTGTAACATTAAAAACAATTTTTAAAAAAATTGAAGCGCTGTGAATACTTTCCAGATGCACTGTATTATGTACAATAAAAAGAATGGCAATTAAAGCCGCAAGCGGCGTCGAACGGCCCTCGCCGCCCTGCGCAACTCCCCGCACCGCGCAACTCCCCACAGCGCGCGACTCCCCGCACCAAGCCGCACCAGCCGCCCCGCTACAAGCCGCCCCCTACAACACCGCACCGCACCTCACTGCACCACGCCGCACTAAACCACGCCGCACTTTTTTTTTGTCAAAAAAGGGAAAAAGTTCACTTTTTGCCGCTGTGTCCCCTATGTACAAGTTTTACTCAGCCTGTAGGGGGCGCTAATGGTACAATGTCATTGTTAACACTTTCAGGCGACCTAGGCCCAGGAGTTGAACAACCGAGTAAAGTTTAGTGCAAATCAGACGTAAATGCCATTCTCACCCATGCAAGACTTGACTCAGTCTGTAGGAGGCGCTAAGGCTGCAAATTAATGTTTTACACTTTCAGTTTACCCAAACCCAAAAATTGAACAACAGATTCAAATTTGGTGCAAATCGGACTTGGTTTGTGCAAAAGGGAGCTATGTTTCTATTGTCAAAATGGGGAAAAAAGGTCACATTTTGAGGCTCCGCTGCTCAAACAAAGTTTCAGTGATCAAAATTCCCTGAAGTCATTTTGATGGTACATGTGTTGAGATGATGTGGAGCGATTTTTGGCCAAATCTGTGAAACGGCCGAGGCTGGTTTGATGTTTGTGCGAGGTGTACATTTGCCATAGACAATGAATGGGGAGCGTTTGTCGTTGCTACGGTAACGGGGTAAAAATAAATAAGCCTTGGGCCCTATTGACTTTTTGAATCAAGACGGCAAAACAAATGTATGTGCAAAATTTCAAACATTTTGAAAAAACTAAATTTGAAAATGCCCATATTTAAAAATGTAAAATAGTTTGTAGAGGGCGCTAATCTGTCAATTTGAATCATTTCACTTTCAAATGACCTAGACCCTAGAGTTGAACAATGTATTAAAGTTTTGTGCAAATCAGACTTTGTATGCGCAAACGGGAGCAAAATTAATGTTGTCAAAAACGGCCAAAAAAAGGTCCCATTTTGCCGCTCCGCTGCTCAAACAATGGTTCACTGATCAAAATTCCCTGAGGTCATTTTGAAGGTACATGTGTTGAGATGATGTGGAGCGATTTTGAGGTGAATCGGTGAAACGGCCGAGGAGGAGATAGTTTCCAACCGACATGTATGAAAATTATTGCTGTTCATTTTTCCATTTTGCAGTGAAATTTATGGGCTTCCTATTTGTCAGAGGGCGGGGCCAAAATAATATTTTTTTCTTGTCTTGACTTGAGGAACATGTGTACCGAATTCCACGGCTCTACGACAAACTTGACCTCCGAAAAGTCGCATTGGGGTGTTTTTTTGGCTGTTGTAGGTGGAGCTGTTCTGGCATTTTTTGAGTCCCATAAAAATAAACACCAAATTATCACATTTTTCGCCAGGTCTGATTTTTGGGCAAAATTTAACAACTTTTCATGCATGTTCAGGGGGTCAAATTAAGGCTCAAAGAGCAGGAGAATAAATAAATTAAAGCCGCAAGCGGCGTCAAACGGCCCTCGCCGCACCGCGCGCAACACCCCGCACCGCACGCACCACCCCGCACCAAGCCGCCCAGCACCACGCCCCCCCGTACCACGCCGCCCCGCACCAAGCGGATCTGCACCATGCGGCCCCGCACCAAGCCGCATGCGCCGCTCCACAACGCCCCGCACTATGCCACACCACACCGTACCACGCAGCACCGCGCAAAGGAGGTGGGGCCGCCGTGTGATGATTTGTTGCTGTAGCCATAGAAGAACGTTAGTCAAATTGTAATGAATATGATGATTAGAGCTGTTTGGCACCCCTTGTAAAACTTTGCCTCAATCTGTAGGAGGCACTAATGGGCCAATTTCAAATATTTCACTTTCACCTGACCTAAACCCTTGAGTTGAACATTGGATTCAAGTTTTGTGCAAATCAGACGTTGTTTGTGCAAACGGGAGCAAAATTAATGTTGTCAAAAACGGCCAAAAAACAATCACATTTTCCCGCTCCGCTGCTCAAACAACTTTTCACTGATCAAAAATCCCTTTGGTCATTTTGAAGGTACATGTGTTGAGATGATGTGGAGCAATTTTGAGGCAAATCGGTGAAACGGCCGAGGAGGAGAAGATTTCCAACCGACGTATGAAAATTATTGCGGGCCTCCTATTTGTCAGAGGGCGGAGCCATGATAACATTTTGGTCGTATCTTGACTTGAGGAACATGTGTACCAAATTTCATGGCTCTACAACAAATTTGACCTCTGAAACTCCCATTGGCTGTTGTAGGTGGCGCTGTTCTGGCATTTTTGAGTCCCATAAAAATAAACACCCAAATATCAAATTTTTCACCAGGTCTGATGCAGGGCTGGACTGGGACAAAAAAACGGCCCGGGCATTTTTTCCTTCTTAGCGGCCCAGGCAACTCAAAAGGTTCAAGGAGCCATATTTGACAAAAACAGCCTTGTATAAGGCTTATATGAAGGTAACAGGGGCTTTAGCTACCTTAGCTACATTAGCTATATTAGCCTAATATCTAAATGACAAAGTAAAGTCTAAACACATAGAAACCATTCATGATTATCAGATGTGTATTTTCACTGCAGCATGTCCTGAGAGAATGACGCACCACGTGACAACTCTGCTTTAACTTTAACCTTCATGCAATTGTACAAATAGAGTAAATAAATCTGCTTTTTGGCTCCGAGTTCACCGGCATCTCTGTCTGTTCATATCCATCACAGGCTGAAGTTTGCTGGAGCTGAATGTCCTTAATGGCCTTTTCTTTCACCGTCTTTGAGAAGGTTTTTGAAGTCTGAAAATAGGTGCTCTGACTTTATGATGAATGAATCTTTCAGTGAACAGTGTTTAAAGCTTCATTGTTCCTCCTGTTGCAACAACACTTTTCATTACAAACATGAAGCAGTCCTTCCTCAGTGACTGAAAGCAAATGTTCATTCTCATTCTTAGTCCAGTTTTATCGACTCTCTTTATCTTTGGGATCCATGCGCACACACAGTCTATAATGTTTGTTTACAGCAGCGGCCACCTGGCACGGGCCGCGTCACAGGATATGACGCACTACGTTGACAGAAATGCTAAAATTGAATATTACTTATACAAGTTTTTGCAGCATTGAAAAACGTTAATGTT